TTTCGAGTAGAACGTGAAACTGCGGTGTAAATTTCAAAATTTTCTGGTGTCATGTAATTATTATAATTTTTTTCAGCCTCTTTACGATTTTTAATTGCTTCCGTACAATCTTTGTCCCACCAAGGTGGCGAGGGAATTTTCCCTGAAGCACTATTTTTAACAGGAAATAATAAATCAGCAACCTCCTTCATATTTATCATCAAGTCATTACAACATTGATGTTCATTTCCATGGTAAACAATAGGTAACTCCGATATTTTATTATCTAAATATTGTTTGTAAATATTCCAGTCTACATTTGATAAATTATATTTAAGCCGAGGACCACTCTTTCGACTTGAGGGAATGGAAATTGGAAAAGAAAGAATGAGGGGAAAGTGATCGCTTCCGAAAGTAGAGGAATGAGGATACCACGACAGTGAAGAAGCTAAATCAGAAGAACATATTGAAATGTCAGGAGCACTAAACCCTTCATTCGGTGCAGTTCTACGTGTTGGTACATCTGAGTTAATAATACATAAGTTGTAAGTGTCAATTATCGTCAGGAGTTTTCCACCATAAAAATTAGAAGTAGAACTGCCCCACGATTGGTGTTGAGCATTAAAATCGCCCATTACGAGAAAAGGTTTAGGTAAAATTGAAAATAATTGTTCTAGTTGTGAATATATTTGGCATGTAGGATCAGGAATATATAAAGTAACAAAACAGATACCATTTATAATTATAGCAGCTGCATTAATGCCGCTATATACAGGAAGCGAAAAAGAAGAAAAAGGAAGGGAGTTTTTGACCAATATGGCAACACCGCCATATCCGTCAGCTCTATCATCACGGAGACTTGTAAAGCCTGAAATCCTAAAAGGATATCCTGGCTTTAACCAAGTCTCTTGGAGAGCTATTATAAAAGGATTATATTTATTAATCAAATAAAATAAGTCTGATTTCTTGTTTGTTATGCTACGACAGTTCCACTGAATTATTAGGACTTTGTAATCCATTGTGAGAAGTTAATAATTGAGAAAATACATTGTAAATGGCATCGTTGGACGGTGGTAAAGTTGTTTGTATCATTTTCGATTGCGATAACACTTTAATAAGCATGAGAATAATATCAAAGATGGATTGATTATTGTCAATATTATTTGATGATAATGCACAACCATTAGAGGGAGCAGGAATATTATATTCCTTAACTATGGCTTCATGGGCAGAACGATCATATCCTTGTTGTGCTTTTTGAGGAGAGCGTGGTTTAAGTGTAACTGTTTTTTTATGTGATGATTGAATATGTGGTAATGATGATTTCTCTTTGAGGAAAGAAGATTGAAAATGAGATTTATTGGACGGAGATGATGATGTTAATACATCTGAATATAGTTTAGAAGTGGGAGGATGAAATTTTGATGCTTCAGCATAAGAAACACAACTGTGGGCCATTGTTTCTTTAATGGCTTTCTGACGTGCATATTCAGGACATTTCTTACTAATTGCTGAATGAGAACCATTACACAAGATACAAGAAACATTTTCCTCATCTACTTCACATTTATCACCTGTATGATTTTGCCTGCATTTATAACACCGAGGATTTGAACGACACTGCATCTTGACATGTCCGAACCTACAGCAGTTATAGCATTGGATAGTGGGGTAAATGTACAAATCTACAGTTAATGATGTGTAAAACATAAATACTCTTTTTGGTAATATTTGTCCATCAAAAGTAATAACAATGGTTTCAGTATTAATAAAACTTGGTTGTCCTTCATTAATGGTCTTTTTCTTAATTCTTCTGGTTTTTAGAATTCTCCCACAACCTATAGGTACTGATATATTTTGGATTACTTCCTCTTCTGTCCAATCTTTAGGAATACCCCTCACAATTCCCATACGGGTTACATGAAAAGAAGGTATAAATGCCTTAAAATTATGTGTTTCTAAGTGACTATTATTTAAAAATGCATTTGCATTTTCAAAATTTGAGAAAGAAAGCGATAAACGGTTTCTTCCTATTCTTTTGAGGCTACCATTCACTATATTATTTATCTTATTAGTGTGTAAAAAGCGACCAAATGCAATAGGATGTAATGTAGTGTTATCATTAGGATGTGTTTCATTTTTTTGTACATGAACGACATAAGGAGCTACATCCTCGGCATTGTACAAAGTTCTGCTTAAAGTACTGGGTGGAGAAGCAGGTTTAACAGACTCGGTATTATTTACAACTGGTATTGATACTAGAGTTTGATTCTCATCCTCAATACATTGACAATCACTATCTTTAATTTTAGATTCGAGACCTTTGGTGTGCCTCCTTCGTTTTTTATTGCAATGTTTGCAAATGCGACGTTCGCCACGTACTCGCTTACGTTTAGAACTTGCAACGCTAGAACCATCTGTGTCCATACTAGATTCACCCAATATATCAAAACTATTATTAAATGGGATAGTTATATTTGCAGACACCTGGGGGTTGTCCCCCCAGGGTCTATAGGTGGATCCATAATGTCTAATTAATATAGGTAATTTACTTACCAATATTTACAGCAACAAACACTATTACTACAAAATATACAATTATATATACAATCTAATACACAATATATAAATAAAACTAATCCTTATATAATTAAAAATAAAATTAATTTAAAGAAGATCAAAAAACACTCCCGCTTTTTTAAACGTTTCCCGCGCTTTTTCCGACGCAACTGTTCTCGATACGACTAATCATGCCCCCACCTAATACGCCATTTTGTAACAGCGTCCATCTTGAATTTGAAATTTTGACATAATGACAGTATTCTGCAGTGTAGTCCTATTATTTGATACCCATATTGTGGTGGTTGTGGAAAAATATGTACCTAGTCCGCCATATTGGAACGGCGTCCATCTTGAATTTTAAATTTTGACATAATCATCGTGTTTTACTAGTGTAGCCCTTTCATTTGATACCCATATTGCGGGGGTTAAGGAAAAATATGTAATCCGCCATTTTGTATCGGCGGCCATCTTAGATTTATAATGTTATTGATTTTATTATATTGTATTGTCATCTAAATTAAATGTGTGTACCAAATTTCAGATCAATCTGACAACGGGAAGGTGCTTAAATTCCAATTTCTAATTTTGACCCAAATAAATAAATACCGTACAGGTCGAGCTAAATAAAACCGTTTAATTAATAAAAATAATCACAACTAATTTAAAGCAATTGTGAATAGGCTATTCTCGGGTCCACAAGCTTCGTCTAAGACCACATCATCACCATCCATCTGGTGAGATGTGTGTCTAGTGTCTGAGTGTCTAGTGTTTAGTGTCTGAGTGTCGAGTGTCGAGTGTCGAGTGTCGAGTGTCCGAGTGTCTAGTGTCTGGGTGTCTGAAAGTCTAGTGTCTGAGTGTCTTGTATCCGAGTGTCTAGTGTCTGTATGTCTAGTGTCTGGGTGTCTGATTGTCTAGTGTCTGAGTGTCTAGTGTCTGAGTGTCTAGTGTCTAGTGTCTGAGTGTCTGAGTGTCTGAGTGTCGAGTGTCTGAGTGTCTAGTGTCTGAGTGTCGAGTGTCGAGTGTCGAGTGTCTGGGTGTCTGAGTGTCTAGTGTCTAAGTGTCGAGTGTCGAGTGTCAAGTGTCTGAAAGTCTAGTGTCTGAGTGTCTTGTATCCGAGTGTCTAGTGACTGTATGTCTAGTGTCTGGGTGTCTGATTGTCTAGTGTCTGAGTGTCTAGTGTCTGAGTGTCTAGTGTCTGAGTGTCTGAGTGTCTGAGTGTCTAGTGTCGAGTGTCTGAGTGTCTAGTGTCTGAGTGTCTGAGTGTCGAGTGTCGAGTGTCGAGTGTCGAGTGTCAAGTGTCGAGTGTCGAGTGTCTAGTGTCAGAGTATCTAGTGTCTGGGTGTCTGAGTGTCAAGTGTCTGAGAGTCTAGTGTCTGAGTGTCTTGTGTCCGAGTGTCTAGTGTCTGGGTGTCTGAGTGTCTAGTGTCTAAGTGTCGAGTGTCGAGTGTCGAGTGTCGAGTGTCAAGTGTCGAGTGTCGAGTGTCAAGTGTTTGAGAGTCTAGTGACTGAGTGTCTTGTATCCGAGTATCTAGTGTCTGAGTGTCTAGTGTCTGGGTGTCTAAGTGTCGAGTGTCGAGTTTCGAGTGTCTAGTGTCTGAGTGTCTAGTGTCTGGGTGTCTGAGTGTCGAGTGTCTAGTGTCTAGTGTCTGAGTGTCGAGTGTCTGAGTGTCTAGTGTTTAGTATCTGAGTGTCGAGTGTCGAGTGTCGAGTGTCGAGTGTCTAGTGTCTAGTGTCTGAGTGTCGAGTGTCTGAGTGTCTAGTGTTTAGTGTCTGAGTGTCGAGTGTCGAGTGTAGAGTGTCGTCGAGTGTCGAGTGTCGAGTGCCGAGTGTCGAGTATCGAGTGTCTAGTGTCGAGTGTCTAGTGTCTGGTGTTTAGTGTCTGAGTGTCGAGTGTCGAGTGTCTAGTGTCTGAGTGTCTAGTGTCCAAGTGTCTAGTGTCTGAGTGTCTTGTATCCGAGTGTCTAGTGTCTGTGTGTCTGTGTGTCTAGGGTCTGGCTGTCTGAGTGTCTAGTGTCTGAGGGTCTAGCGTCTGAGTGTCTAGTGTCCGAGTGTCTAGTGTCTGGGTGTCTCAGTGTAGTCCTATTATTTGATACCCATATTGTGGTGGTTGTGGAAAAATATGTACCTAGTCCGCCATATTGGAACGGCGTCCATCTTGAATTTTAAATTTTGACATAATCATCGTGTTTTACTAGTGTAGCCCTTTCATTTGATACCCATATTGCGGGGGTTAAGGAAAAATATATAATCCGCCATTTTGTATCGGCGGCCATCTTAGATTTATAATGTTATTGATTTTATTATATTGTATTGTCATCTAAATTAAATGTGTGTACCAAATTTCAGATCAATCTGACAACGGGAAGGTGCTTAAATTCCAATTTCTAATTTTGACCCAAATAAATAAATACCGTACAGGTCGAGCTAAATAAAACCGTTTAATAAAAACTGTTTTACAGACAAAACTGGAGTTAGTGACTGGAGGGTCAGCAGCTACAATGAAACTGAAGTTGTATGACAATAAAAACAATTTAGTGTGTGATATTGACAACAATGATGCCCTGCTCGGCTCTTACCCCATTGATGATGGCATGAGGATACATGTGGTCGATAAGTTTGCACTTGTAAAAGATTTTGATACTAGTGACAGTGCTGAAAGGTGAGTAAGCAATGCTTAAATTGGCATTTGATATATTTATTTTATACTATATTGTACACACAAGTAATACATAAAATATTTTTACCAGAAGACTTTGTACAAAAGTTGTTGGTTTAGGCACCTCTGTTCCATTCATGTTTCTACTGTGAAGCAGTTGTGTTTACATGGCTGTGTTTCAGTTTGAAGGGTGGGATATGGCAGTGAATTTACAGGTTACAGAGGAGTTATCCTCTCTTACTCATACCTTAGTCCTCAGGAATGGTAACATATAGGAGGTATCATGGGTGAAACAGTATACTCTGTTATGTCCATAGTACTGCTCATGTGTATAAGCGACGGTTACCACTTTCCATTAGGTGGGCCCTCAGCTTGTTTGCTATTCTAAGTTGTATAAAAAAAAGACAAAATATGACAGTGGTAAGTAAATGTGCAAAGACAAACTTAACTTTAATAGAGTTTAATACAATTTTGAAACCAAAAAAACCAGACAAGTTTATAATTTTTTGGTCTGGAATTTAATGGTAGAGAGATGGGCAGCAACGACCCTCTTAAACATCACCAAAGTGTAACTGCAATTGCCAATTCACTTGCCAAACATGGCAACTACTCGCAAAAAAGGAGGATTGTGTTCAGCAGTGGCCAGTTAGCGGCTGATATGGTGATGATTAATGTTCTGTATAAACAAATCTTTTGTATTAATTTATTAAAAAGTTTTAATATAATATTACAAATCATATTACGCCGACCCCAAATGATTGGGATAAGGGTAGGACGATGATGATGGTAATATTACAAAACTTATTTATTACATTATTTATGTATTATATTGAATTAATTGTGGGTTGAATACATATGACTACAGATTTCGTCTCTCTGAAGAAGAATATGAGAAGAAAGGCGACACACTGAGGTCCTTTCTACAACGTAACAAGCTTGGCAAATACAATGAGGAAGAGATGAACAAGCTCAAAGAACAACAGCAGAAAGAGTTGGAGGAAGAAGCCAAGTGAGTAATAAAATTCATATTTGCATGATTCTATATCACATGTAAAGATATAGGTATATCGTTAAAATCTACAGATCTATTTGTATTAGATTATAATGTCCTTTCCTTTCAAATAGAGAAATTAGCAGAAAATAAATTTGAATAGGTTTATGAAATGTTTTGATGGAAGTTATGTGTGCAGTGCATATAATAGAAATTCATTGAACTGACACTGGTAGTAGTAATAAGGCTTTTTATTTATTTATTTATAAATTACTCACCACACTTACAATACAAAACGTATCCCAAAACGTGTAGTGAGCCATAGGTTTATTTTACAAACTTAAAAATTTTAAATATTTTAAATATATATCTATTTTGTCATTAAATATATCAACATCTGGCTGCTGAGCAATTAGAGAAGTGAGCAGAGAAATAGCCTGATAAGTGGGAGCAAACTGAACAGTACAGGTGCGAACCGGCGGTGGTGACAGTAATCAACAAATACGCAATTGCATGCAGTGTTGGGGTGCGTACAAAGAACCCGTTGTTCTTTGTACGAGTTCTTTTTCTGAGAGTTGCAGGATTGTTTATTCTGCCGTTGAGCAACCGATAATAGTGCATCATCAAATTGCACATTCGCCTTACCTCGAGCGTTTCTAAACCAACCATACTGGATACGAACTTTTAGAGCCTATTTTTTTTTTATACAACTTAGAATGGCAAACAAGCTGACGGCCCACCTGATGGAAAGTGGTAATCATCGGCTATAGACATGAGCAGTACCATGGACATAACAGAGTATACTGTTTCGCCCATGATACCATTGCCATTGCCATTCCTGAGGACTCAGGTGTTATTCCTCTGTACCCTGTAAATTCACGCCATATTGCACCCTTCAAACCGAAACACAGCCATGCAAACACAACTGCTTCACGGCCTATTACTAACAACCCGTTATTGGGTGTTGTGTGGGCAGGCTGGCGGCGGCGGTGGTGGTGGGGTCCCGCTGCGAGGTGCGCGTGCCGCAGCAGGCGGCGCGGCGCGCCACCGTGCGCTACAACGGGCCGCTGGCCGCCGCGCGCGGGCTCTGGATCGGCGTGCAGTACGACGAGCCGCGCGGCAAGAACGACGGATCGTTAGTGGCTACCACCATCGTTTCAACCAATCAGGGGAGCCTACAGGTTCCCCTAATTGGAAAACAGCGTCCCTCTTAAAACGTTGACAAAAGCCAAACTGCGGTTGTAACCTCGCCTCCAAGTGTAGCAACTACTGGCAAAACACCTTATAGGGAGGCTACGTTCAGCAGTGGACAGTTATAGGCTGATGATGATGATGTCTGTGGTGATAACAGTGAGGTTATATGGCCAGGGGAAAACGTTTAATGTCGCTAGACAAAAATATAGCAACATCATTTGTACCTAGTTTTATTAAAAAGCGTATATATCTGTAGTCGGCAAGGGGGTCTTAACCTAATTCAATTTTAACCTAATTTATACAATTAATTTAATAAAATTAATTTTGAAAAGCCACTAAAAATTTTGTCGTTGCAGTGTGAACGGGCATCGCTACTTCACGTGCCCGCCGAACTACGGCGGCTTCGTAAAGCCCGTGTACGTGACCGTCGGCGACTTCCCCGAGGAGCAGTTCGACCTCGACGACGAGATATGATCGAGTCGCATCACAACACGCTCAACCGCCTAACCGCTCACACACCCTGAGTTAAACGTAGGACATTATTTGCCTGTTTATTTTATTAATCACTTGTTTTGATTCTTAAACTGATAGTAAATGGAACATTTGAAATAATTAAAAAAAAATAGATTTTTAAACTGTTTCGTTCGACATCAAATCCAGAATGGTATTAAAAAAAAAGAATTAGGCACAAGGTGTGATACCTAAAAGTCTTATATTATGTAGATAGAGCATCGAGCCTCAAAAACGGGCTAACTTTTTGTAAGCTAATTGTCAAATTAGCTTACTCGTTTTTTTTTAATATTGTATATACTTACGCACATAATGTATCTTGGCGTATCGATATTTCTTTAATAAATAAAATGAATTTTTGCGCCCTTAAAAAGATGCAGAATTTGTAAAACAAAATAAATATAGAAGTTATAAAGGAATCATTCATAACTATTTGTCACGCTAAATTGTATGAGAAAGTTGACACGCTTTTCTCGAAGCATTTGTATGGAGATACTATCTATATAATGTAAGCTATAAGTACATAACCTACATGTTTATATGTAATTTTTTCGTAGCATATATTTGATTATGAAATAGAGAAGCTATCTGTACAAATACTTTCGAATTTATATAAAAATAATTGTCTTTTTTTTTTTTAAATAAATTGGCTGATTAGTATAATGTACTATGGTAACTCAGTTTGTGTCGGTATATATTATGTAGCTTGCTAGCAGGCTATGCACTATGGCTTTAACACGTTTCGAAATATTTTATTTGATATATTTTCATAATCATGATGGATGAATTAGGAGTTGTAATACTGAATTGTGATTTCGTCAAATATTTTGTAATGAACAACAGTTTTGCATTTTAAAATGTTGTAAAGCTGATTCCGACGCGCTGTTTCTCTAAATTTCTCTATTTAAAATTTTAATAAAATTTGATAATTTCGCGTTATTATTGTTTTATAGACTATCATAAATTATAATATTTTTTACTTAAATCTATTAGAAAATTAGTTCATATTGGTCCTTACAATAAAGATTACGCTGTGATATCAAATTTTAATTTTAAAGGCAAGTTTAAAGAAATTGCGTCTTAGTCGATCCCAATGTGAAATGAAGTCTGTTCGATTGACATAAAGTCTATTGTCCTATACCGCCGTGATAAACGACCCGAGCGAAATAGCTGTATTGTGATGTCCTTTAGTATGTTGCATCTATCAATTTTCCAAATAGGTAGAATTAACATTGCCTTTTTGTTTATTAATTATCTACATTTATAAATGTCCATTCTGGAAAAATGAATTCTGAGATGTATAAATTTAAAACAGCGGTCTCCAAACTTTAAAGCCTTAGGGCTATGTTTTTTCCAGTATGTTTCAAGGGCCAAAACAGTTTTAAGGGCAGAAAAATTCTGGCCTTAACTATATTCCTACAGACCAGGGCCGGATTGATGACACTAATCTTAAGTTTTTTTGGGCCGGATTGATGGCATTTGTGGGCCGGATTTGGTCCGCGAGCTGTAGTTTGAAGGCCCATGATTTAAAACATGTTCTTAATTTTTATATTTTGTATATAAATATCGTTAATTTTCATTGGTCTAGTATTGTTGGTGCATTTTAATAATGTTTACCAATAGTAAATAAAAAACCACCTTATGGATGAACAAAAGGCGTGAGCAAAGTGCCAAATACATATATGCTATCACGCTCGGTTTGTTATTCCGGCACAAGTGAGCATATTTGTTGTAATTACAAGATGGTTTGCTTTTTATATTGTAATTTAAAAAGGTGATTAATATAACATTTTTGTACACGCCTAACAAGATAATTTCATGTTATGGATAAGTACTTAATATGTAACTTTGATATCTTGATGCAAAACGTATAAACCATAGATTAAATTTTATAACGATCACCATGATGAATATGCACTGTAATAACATTTTTTTTTTATTAGTCGCTCTAATGTAAATCTTCTTTTCTCAAACATGTTTGGAAATGTGAGCATTATTTTGACAATCTTCATAGAGATAAATCAAAATTGCCGTACTGTCCAGACACATGCGGGCAGCGGCCGGGAAAAGTTGTATGAAAATCCATATCTGTCGTGGTTTGCGGCCAGATAAATTACTCTGGAAACTCATAATTTAAAAATAGTCCTGTACCATTTAAAATAGAATAACCTTTTATTGAAAAAAAAAACGTTCGTTTATTATTGTTCGTTATTCGTCATTGAACTTAAAAAGTAAAATTGTGTTTTTGATTTCCGCGCATTGTTTGAGAAAAGTACTATACAAGCCGTGGCCACAACTAGGCATTGATGGACACACGTATGTGTGCCTCAGTTGCTGCCCGCTGCAGTAATGTACTATATTCAGTATTTATTGTAACAGATCAGACATAACCCAGCTAGTGTCACTTTCCGAATGGAATATAAATATACAAGTGCGATAAAAATTTATATTATAAAAGCGATAAAATAAATGATCTCATTTCTAATGCTTATAGTTTTCACTCGTCGGAAGCTTATAAAAACTAAGCCCAATATTTAATTATTTCGCGTATGCTGGTGCGAAACCATGACCGAATCATACCATGTATATATTCATTTATACTATTCTACTATTTATTAAAGACAATGGAAATATCCTGTCTTAATCAAATTACGTTATTTAATTGATTTATTAATTTTAATGCCTGCTATTGTTCGTTTTTGTAATTAATTGATGGTATTTAGTTTAAATTCAGTAATTCCCTTTTTTATAATTTTTGTAGGCACATTTCTTCACATTCCAAAGCATTGCTCATTTATTTAACGATTTATGTCTATATATATATTATATATATATATATATATATATATATATATATATATATTTTTTTAACGAAAATAAAATTTGTAACCGTTTTTTTTTTGTCTATTTTTAGTTAACGATTTTTTTAACGAAAATAAACGACGTTTTTATGTTGGATCTTTTTGTACGACTTTATTTTTAACCCTAGACTTCTGGCTATGTAGATCATATTGAAACCAAGGCCCTAGCGAAGGAGGTATAAATTAATGTCCTGATGAAATCGTCACGATAAGCCAACTAACCTGACTTCATTTTCAATTTATACAGGCGGGTTGCCACTCCTTTATCACCCAAAATCCAGGGTTCTAGACTTTTTTATAACAGGGGGGTAAACAAGCATGCAGGTCATTTGATAATAAGTGACCACCGTCGCCCATGATCACACACTAAAGGCATTGCAGGACTGCTGTCGGCCTTTTTAAAAGAAATATACTCTTTTTATTGAAGGTTATGATGTCGTATCGGTGTATAGACTGCCGATAATGACGGTTAACAAAATTTAAACGATAAGTTACATCCGTTGGTTCCTTATGACAGTCTATGGGGAGGCCTATGTTGAGCAATAGGCAATTAATAGCTAATATGTTAAGTTGCTTCAGTGGTATAAATAATGATCACGTAATTAGCGAAACTTCAAAATTTTGCTTCCTACTCACGATCATTTACCTAGTTGTAATTCCAATGGCATGTGTACTATTTGCCTGATGGTAAACAGTTATCAAATTTATATATACCAACATGGGTGCGTACTCTTTTTCATTTTATTTGCGCGCCGAATTTCATACAGGGTAGATAGAGTCAAATTATTTACACATGTCTTGTATGGTCCACTTTCTCAACTCATTTTAAATTGCAGTTATTTACAAATTACTGTTAATTTATCATTTATCATTTATCACCACTACCACGGTGTGGAATTGAGACGTTTATCATCATCAGAACAACCCATCACCACCTCATGCCTAAGTCTCTTGCGTGGCAACAGTTGAAATATGGCGGCTTGCAGTCGATCGTGGATGCAGAGAATACCTATACATGGTACTCTCTACTGTTGACGGTATAAGGAAGTCCACTGCAACATCTGGCTGCAATGTAAAAAAAACAAAGCAAAACTAGTCAATGTGTGCAAAAGGGACCCCTCCGTTACTGCGACAACCCTATGAACGTGACCTAAAATCTATAATACCTGAAAATTAAACATACCTCGAGTGAGTTTAGAAAGATTTTTATTTAAGCACAATGACAATATTCCAAGCATGCATTTAATTTATTTTAATTGCTTATCTACACAGAGCGGGCTGCCAGTAACCTTCTGTAGAAACTATCCTATCAGTAAGCCCATAATTATATTGAATTTTACAAAAATATGTTACATATAATTAGTCCGTGCATACAGCATGGAGTAGCTCCTAAGTATATCTCGAGATGTAAAATTATAAACAAACCTAAATTATGATAGGTATAGCTACAATTTGATCCTATATGTATATATATATTTTTTAATAAAATTACGTATAATATCTATCAAATAGATTTAAAAAATTTTTTTAAACCATATATTGTACCTTCACCGAACATTATAAAGACGAAGCGACAAAAAATTCTACCAATTGATCAATCAATATGAAAGAGCAATCTAACATTAAAATATTATTGTGTCATTTTTAAATTAGCACGTAGTCAAAGAATAAAAACATGTTATACACGATACATATATAACCAAGTTCGAGATAACAAAAGGGAAACAACTTAAATCTACAGTAAAACGTGAACATATGCGCCGGGTATTACTACACAATGTGTTCCATCTTCCTCTTGCACGTTTGTTGGGGACGTTTCCAGTTGATTCGGGTGACACGGCCGCCGTCGAGGTATTTTGCACACATTGCTAGCGGTATTAAACTATGTCGAATTGAAGATAATTGTGATGCAAGTATATCACATACATTTACATATAAAATATAAATGTCAATTTATACAAATGTTCACTATTATATATATAAATATAAAAAAAAAGAGAGAGAGAAAACTTCATTTCGACATTTTGAAATAACGACAAAAAATTACGCCCGCCGAGTACAACTGTGCAGTTTGTATTATAAATTTATATAATGTTGCAACACGTCAATAAACTCGAATAAGTGCAATAATAGAACAAAAATATAGTCGCATTTACTCTGTCAGCGAGAGGGCAGATAGAGACAGCGCGTTATGAAAGCATACCGGATAGTGTGAAATGGGAAACTGTGATCGTGTCGCAACATCGGGCCGTTCGAGTGCAATTGTTCTAGACGCGCGTATAAATGATTTAGCAACCGTACCTGGCCCGGGTCGCTCCACTTGAGCGCCCAGGCGCGTTCCTCTTCTCAGCGTGCCGGTGACAAACAAAACACCACATCGGTAACCAATAAGGCACTCGTATATTTCAACTTTGTTCTTTGTATAAAAAAAAAATCTTTGGCGTTATGCGCATCGGCGGTCGGCCGCCCGAGTTAAAGCTATATGTTCCTTGTAAAACTTTGACAAAATATATGACAACCATAATCTAGTTAGAAGACATAGCTGTAACTCGGCGTGCCACTATCGTGTCCTCTTCGGGGCCCGCTCGCGTCACCCGAATCATTTCCACTGGAAATACCCGACTTTCCATCTCCGCCGCTGTCAAGCTACTCCTTCCTTGCTCTCTGTGCTTGTCTGCACTTCGCTGCTGTCGCTCTCCTTCGCTTCCGCGAGTTCTTTGTCTGGACTGAACATGTCTACAATTTTCGAGCTGTCTGCCACTTCGAATGTGGGCTCTTTTTCGACGACAGCTATTGATGAATTGTCCACAGGGGTTTGTAATGTGAAACTAGTGTCTATGGCGTCACTCTCGTCGTAAAGGTCATTTGCACTTGGTATATTTTCTGGAGCCTCACATTCCATCGTTTCTGGGGACTTCTGTGGATTACTTTCCTCATTATTATAACTATTTTCTGCGACATCACCGCCCCTTTCATCACCACTGTAGTCATATTCTTTGTTTTCACTCTCCTGCTCATTTGATTTAGCGATAAAACTTTCCTGCATACTGAAAACATCAGAATTGTTTTGTTCACTTGAGCCCTTATAACTTTCGTGGTTATCTGAACTGTCAAAGCTTTCCTCAACATTAGATTCTTTTATGCTTTCTTGAATGTCAGAACCTTTGTAATTTTCTTCAATGTTAGGCACCTTAAAGGTTCCTGATCATTGGCGAGAGTTTCATTATTTTCTTGTTCATTTGAAACTAGATCATCATTCTCTTTATACACATTCGAAACTGGTTCATAACTTGCGTCATTGCTTTTATCATCGGATTGTGCAGGTTCTGAACACTCTTCGCTAACACTCTCCTTGTTGTTATCATTACTCTGAACATGTTCATGACTAGTGTCAACACTCTCATAATTTTCATTACTTTCACTATTTACATTAAATTCACTATTTTCTGTACTTTCCTCTGCTTGATTCTGATTCTCGTTAACATTAGCAGATTCATCGGCAGCTCCCCATCTGGATTTCCTGTCTTTATCTCTTCTAGTATTCCGTTCTTCGCGGGGCGGCCGCGTCCGGTCCTGTTCGAACGACCTTCTGTTGCGATCACCTCGGTCTGCACGGTCTCCACGGTCACTCCGATCGCCGCGGTCACGGTCACCGCGTTCTGGTCGATCGTTGTGATCGCCGCGATCTGCGCGTTCAACGCGGTCAGTGTGGTCACCACGTTCGGGGCGATCGCCATGGTCAGCGCGATCACCGCGCTCTCCTCGTTCACCGCGATTCGAACGATCTCTGAAACGATCCTCGTGATCTCTGTTTCTACGATCCCTTCTACGATCATCCCATTCGCCGCGGTGCTCCCAGTCGCGGTCCCTGTCACGGTCACCATTCCAGCCTCGCTCTCCAAACTGCTCACGGTCATCAAACCGTCTACCGCCGCGATCGAAATACTCTGGTGGTCCATCAAATCTCGCCGGACCATCAAATTGACGATCTCCTTCATATGGGCCGTCAAATTGTCGCGGCCCTTCAAATGGTGGTCTCTTTCCATCAAACGGTGGTCTGGAACCATCGAAGGGTGGTCTAGCTCCTTCGAAGGGAGGTCTCTTTCCATCAAAAGGTGGTCTCGGCCCATCGAATGGAGGTCTTGGCCCGTCGAATGGTGGTCTAGGCCCTTCAAACGGTAGTCTGGGCCCGTCGAAGGGTGGTCTCATTCCGTCAAATGGTGGTCTCGATGCGTCAAACGGTGGCCTGGATGCATCAAACGGTGGTCTAGGGCCGTCAAAAGGTGGCCTTGGGCCGTCGAAAGGTGGTCTAGTCATTCCGTCGAAAGGCATTCTATTGAATGGTGGTTCGAATCTGGGCGGACCATCGAACATTGGTCCTCCCTCGAAAGGAGGCCTCTCGAAGGGCGGTCGCGCGAAAGGCGGCGGTCCCATTCCGTTGAATCTCGGTCCAAAGCCCACAGGGCCTGGTCCTGGACCTGGTCCCGGGCCGGGACCGTCCATCCATGGCCCTGAAAATTTTGAGAAAATAAAATTTAATCGACTGAAACTAAATATTAGACAAAAAAACTGTTTAAAAACAGAATGGCAATATAATTTTTTGCACAGAGATCCTTTGTACAAGTCTTGGCTATTGAGTATTGTAAAAGTAATGCTTCGAATGTTACAAATTTTCATTGACTCTGATGAATTATCATCAGACAGACTACATGCTTGATCCCTCTATATACATAATCAAAATTTCTCACAAAAAATATGACTACAATTAGCTTTTAGTTCAAAACACATAATGAGTCAATAGTAATTGGGTTTATTATTTTATGTAATACCTTGCATAGGTTGTCTGGGCGGTCCTCTCATTCTCAGTTCTGAAAGAAAAAAAGTAAGGTTTAAGTATAGAATTAAAACAAGTTGGGACTGTTTGAAAGTTTTTTGAGTGAATATCTCAATTGTTCTAAATTTTTGTGATAATGTTACGCGATTACATCACCAATTTTGAGTCGATTTTCGCTGTATTTTTTTAATCAACACGCTCTGTGTTCTTTTTTTTTTTTTGATGGGTGAAAATGGTATGGTAACCCCGCCTGCGCTAACGGGATACGTTGGCGGAGCACCAGTGAAGGGTGATAGATGAGAATAAAAACAGGCCAGTTAGCCCATCATGATGAATTCATCAGGAATTAACCATGACAGTTTCCAGGGGGAACCGCGAAGAGGTCGACTTGGTTGGGGATATTGCTAGCAATGGGATTCTCAGTCTCCATTACTAAAAATCCCTTTCCCCCCCTACACGCTCCGTGTTGGTCATATTGACTTTCTAACAATTATATAACATTTCAAATTATAATATTGTTTACAATGTAGGGTAACTCAAAAACTTAAAACTTTTTCTATTCTTCACAATAAGAATATCATATCCATAAAATCACAGATAAATGTTACAGCGTGTTACATGGGGGGAGAGAGGATCAAAAATCTACAAAAATCAATATATGTTAAAGCATTAACAATATGCAATTAATATTATTCACTCCTGCGTATAATGAAGCGGTTACAGCGGTAAAACCAATGGACGACTGCTAAGTTATTAATAGATAACATCAACCAGTAACAAGAGTCGCTCATCACGACATCGCGAGAACGCCAATCATAACGCAGGAGAAATTTACATGACCTTTCAGGTTTTCAAAATTGTAACAGACTCGCAAAACAAAACTTCAACGCATAACATCAAATTTATATTCAATACAACGCTTCAAAAGTATTTATTTTATTTACCCTAGTTAAATCGCTTCAAATACTAGGTGTATTTATTCATCATCATCATCATCATCATCATCATATCATCTGTTCATCATTAAACGCAAGCGCACATCATTAACAATATATGTATATTTATTTTTATTCCATTTAGCTTGTATACCTTTTTACCTGTACTTTTCCCGCACTAGATTACCTGCTAATTATTTTCTCTCTAACAGCATTGGATTGGCTGGAAGATATCTCTTTCAGAGATAAGCCCTTCCTTGTCAACAAGTTGTTTAACTAATCGCTATATCTTTTGTTCAAGTGCAATAAAGAATATATAAAAATTGCATTTATTAATACATTGAATGTCATCTAATGTGATGTTATGTATTATGTATGATTTTTTTTATACCACTGAGGTGGCAAACAAGCATACGGCCCACCTGATGGTAAGCGGTTACCGTAGCCTATGAATTACGGTTGTCACGTTTTTGTAGTGCATCCACATTGTTTGCAGCGGCATGGACAGACGACTTCTATGCCATCAGACGCAAACGAATCGCATCTACTTTACACCGACTGTGTACATACAACAGCATTCTGAAGGCGTTATGTAATAAATACGATAGCCCGATCCTCTCATTGTGGGTCAAAATTATTATAGGGGCCATAAAATGATTTGTTTTTGTTTTACTAACATTAAGTTACTACGAAGTTACAACGACTATCAAATCGTTTATTACATCTAGATAAAAAAATCCTCAAAATAATGATAGGGACATTAACGGGCCATTGTCCATTAAACAAACATTTATACACAATAGGAGCCACAGACAGCCCTCTATGTCGAGGCTGTTTCGACGCCGAAGAAACGGCTGCTCACGTAATCCTGGAATGTGAGGCTGTGGCCCATCAACGTTTAGAAATCCTCGGAACGGTGACGTCGCTCCGTGAGGCCTGTGAAGAACCCAGGAAGCTTCAGTGCTTCTGGGCGGAGCTAGGCTGGCTGTACTAGCCACGACTCATACGCACAACGGCCCAAATGAGAGGTTAAGCGCAGAAAATAGAGTCTTTTTACATTCACATACTAACATTAAGTCAATTGTTACAAACAAAAATGGATCCTGATCATCTGTAATAAAAATTATAATAGCAAAAACATGTGTTGTGTGTTCGACCTGCTCGGAATGGCGGCGCGAGGTGCGGCGGCGGCAGGTGCGGCGGCGGCAGCTGCGTCCAGCCGCCGGCCGCGGCGCCTCCGCTGCCGCCGACGGCACCACACGACGGTTGCTCCGCGTCTGCAACAGGGCGTTACCGGACCTCCGTCATTTTTTTTTATCTCCTTTTTACAATGTCATTGCAAAAGAGATCCCATGAGAGATATTATATTCTCTACCCAAAAGATTGTCTATGCTTTAGCGATAAGACCACCTTTTGTACTAAAAGTGTAATATTTTTTTTTTTGTGCGTATGTATCTAAATCTATTGTTATTTGTGTGCTGTAAGTAATGCAAATAAATTATATATCTATTTATTTATTTACTCTTCACTTCTTTTTATTTTTCTATACAACTTAGAATGGCAAACAAGCTGAAGGTCCACCTGATGGAAAGTGGTAACCGTCGCCTATACACATGAGCAGTACCATGGACATAACAGAGTATACTGTTTCGCCCATGATACGCCCCCATGCGTTGCCATTCCTGAGGACTCAGGTGTTATTCCTCTGTACCCAGTAAATTCACGCCATATCCCATCCTTCAAACTGAAACACAGCCATGCAAACACAACTGCGTTACGGAAAAACACGAATGGGACAGAGATATCCAAGCAATCGACTTTTGTACAAAGTCTCCCTCTGGTTGTTTGTTTGTTACGTACGTTGTTTGTTATGACAGCTTAACCAACCACAATGAAATTTCGTATACACGTACTATATGGAACGAAGAAGGGCGCAGGTTACTTGTTACCCTTGTCAGTGAACTAATCCCGAACATGCGAACGAAGTCGCGAGTAAAAGCTAATTTTAGAACAATTTCAACTTCATCGAACGTCCACGCGAACGGAGTCACAAGCACAACTAGTAAAGAAATATAATTAACTAGCGACCCGCCCCGGCTTCGCACAGGTGCACATTACATCACATCACATTAGAAACCTTCAAAATTATCAGTGTTTCTCTACAATATTATGCATGTATTATACATATAAACTTTCCTCTTGTATCACTTTCTCTATTAAAAAAAAAACACTTCACAATCCGTTGTGTAGTTTTAAAGATTTAAGCATACATAGGGACGGACAGACAGCGACATTGTTTTATACTATGTAGTGATATCAAATATAATATTATTGTTCTAAATATATGATATGTTAAACTGAGCATCTTCATCAAGCAATTATTTCGAATGTCTTATATGTTATATGCTTAGATTATATAGATAGTGCCTCCATACAAATGCTCCGAAAAGCGGGTCAAATTTTTCATATAATTTTGCGTGATAAATAGTTTCCTTTATAACTTCTATATTTATTTTGTCTTATAAATTCTGCACTTTTTAAATGCCTAAAAATTCATTTAATTTATTAAATAATTAAACCTAGATACGTCAAAATACATTGTAGGCTTAAGTATATAGAATATAAATAAAAAATAAAACAAGTCAGCTAATTTGACAATTAGCTTTTTGGCAGCTAATTGTCAAATTAGCTGTTAAGCCGTTTTTGAGACTCGACGCTCTATCTATATAATGTAAGGTTGTACGTTGAACTGACCTCCTTCATCGGGCAGCGGCATGTCTAGCCGTATGGGCGGCATGCGGTCGAGCAGCGGCGGCCGCTCGTTCCGGTCACGGCCGTCGTCGCCGCGCCGGCCGTCGGCGAAGTCGTCGCGGGGCTTGTCGCCGTCGTCGCGGGGCTTGCCGTTGGCCATCTCCCACAGTCGCTCCTGCAGTGACTTCTCAGGGTTCTGCTCCATGTTCGCCATGTTGCGCGACGGGGACTTCTCTCTGCTGCGTTCTCTGTTGCCAATAAAAATAGTATAAGCCTTTTTTTTTTTTATTTAAGTAACCTTAATTACTAGCATAAATAGCAGCTGAAATGCTACAACTATTAACATTCAGAATACCTACATAAACAAATATATAACATTCATTTGAGTATTCAACCCGACCCTAGATATTTCTAAACCACGACTAATATCTTTCTACCGGGGGGAAAGGGGTTGTTAGTAATGGAGACTGAGAATCCCATTGCTAGCAATATACCCAACCAGGTCGACCTTCTCGCAGTTCCCCCTGGAAACTATCATGGTTAATTCCTGATGAATTCATTATGATGGGCTAACTGGCCTCGTTACATTCTCATCTATCACCCTTCACTGGTGCTCCGCCAACGTATCCCGTTAGCGCAGGCGGGGTTACCATACCATTTTCACACATAAAAAAAATTATCTTTCTACCTAGGGAGGAAAATTTGAGTACAAGCTGAAGGATATCGTGTTAATGTGAGTGGTTCTCGAATCTCGATTCCATTTGCTTATCCCCTATGAAATTTGCAATAAATACTGATACATATATAAATACAATATGATACTAACCTGTTACCGTCCCTCGACGTAAACCGGTCCCGCTCTCGATCCCGGTCGCGGTCGCGGTCACGCCGGTCCCGCCCCCGGTCTCGGTCGCGGTCACGGCGGTCATCACGCTCTCTGTACAAAGAGAAGAACAATGTTATTAAAACATAATGTTATGTTGTTATGTTTGTGTTTATTTTGTCTAATGCATCTAGGCTTGGGTAATATGGGATCCTGAACCTTAATAACGATGGCGGAAAAATGTCATCACCCATTTTGTTATCGCTCATATCGGTCTGGTATCTATTTTCAAATATGTTAAAAGTCTGTTTTACTTTTAGCATAATCGTTGTTGAACCAACATACAGATACTGTACTGTACCTGTCGCGGTCCCTGCCACGGTCGCGTTCCCGGCGGTCACGGTCGGCGCGGTCGCCGCGGTCGCGGCGCTCACGGTCCCGGCGGTCGCGGTCTCGGTCGCGGTCGCGGCGGTCGCGGTCGCGGTCGCCCTTGCGGTCGTCGTCCTGCTTGTCGTCGGCCGGCGGCTGCGACCCGGCGAACGGCGGCGGCTCGTTCACCTTGTAGCCCGGTGGCGGCTCCGACGAGTTGAACTCCGGCGGTGGTTTCGATAGCAGCGCTTGGAGCTGGGGACAAATGTGCACGTTGATAATCATCTGCCTCCTTTTATTCCAATGGGTTATTTGACTGATTTCTAAAACCAATAAATCTAGAAACTATTTCCTTCTCACCAAAGGGAGACAATTACTATTATTAATGCCGAATCATTAGTACCTGATCGTGTAATGAGGACGGGTCATCGTGGGTCGCAGCCCCGGACCCTGCAGCCTCCGGCGGGGGTACGGTCGGTCCGGCGGCGGCGGCGGCGGGGGCGGGGGCGGGGGCGGGGGCAGCGTGTGCGGGGACGGCCGGGACGGGGGGCAGTTCATCGCCCTCCAGCTCCATGGCATCATCGGCAGCGTTCACCGAACTCACGGCGGTCTGTTGCTGCACAGGGGGAGACATAAATTAGTTCACTATCTGAGCATTTGTTAAATCTGTCCAGAAACTAACTTTATTATCTGATAGTGTTTAGCAGTTTGTATTAAAAATATACATTATGTATATAATTAAATTTTTTGAAAAAAAAAAGCAACAGCTGAGTTTCATGCCCCTTCATTTTAGTTACAAAATGTTCAAATTGCATTACAATAAAAAAAAAACTCTTATAAAATGCTTAAATCTAAATTTACTTGCATAAAAATATTTATTTTTGTAATTTTTTTTTTAGTTTATTTCTCTGTATTCTATCCCGATTGAAGTTACTTTTTTTTTATCTAAGTCCAAGTTCCTATTTCTTTTAATTATTAAAAATAAATAGTCGAATACACTTAAACTGTCGTTATTTATTTTATTTATTCTTTATAAACCATATTATTGTGAGTAGTTCACCGAAATCTTGAACTGTTATAAATGTTCAAATAATGAGACACGAGTTTAAACCGAATTCTCGCAGTATTATACCTGCAAGTGGTGAGACAGCTGCTGTAGATGCGGGTGTTGTGGATGCTGCGGGTGTTGCGCGTGCTGCGGGTGCTGCGGATGCTGCGGGTGCTGGTCGCGCGGCAGCAGTGGAAGGCCGGCGGCCACCAGCCCGCCCACGCCCAGCAGCCCGCCCAGGAATCCGCTCACCATGCCTGCAACAAGCACCATATTCAAACTATGCACACATTTTCATATAGTAAATAGCTAACTCGGAGCGGGAAGGAATTATTAGAAATGCGGACTATCAGTGTATATATATACTCTGTCAGGCAGGCGGAGTTACCATCCATTATCCCAACTTGAAAAATATAGAGTTGAATTCCAGGAGATGGTGATAACTGACATGCCTTCTCCAGTGTTACCTATCATCTCTCACTAGTGCCTTGTTAGTATAGTTACCATTCCATTATCATCCATTAAAAAAATAATTTTATAGTATAGTGTGATGTGGTATGGTGTGGTATGGTGTGGTGTGATGTGGTCTAGTGATGTGTTGTGTGATGTAATGTAGTGAGGACATACCGGGCTGTGGCGGCATGGCCGGCGGGAAGCGAAGCAGCGGCCCACCCGGCGGCAGCCCCGCCTCGCCCTGCAGCCCTGCGCAGTACATAATCATCACTCGTTACACAATATTAACACCTTTATTTATTTATTTATTCATTAGTACAAATATGTGTACATAGCGGACTTAATGTTAAAAACATTCTCTCCCAATCAACCATAGGGAAGTGACAGAATACTCGAATGCGGTACTAGTAACTATTGATATACATACATACTAAAATTACATATATAGACGAATAAATATATATATAAATAACAAATATACTTACACATATATGACACATACTATATTATACACGAAATTGAGAATAATATAATTGCGCTTACTGCTTGGATAAAGTAATAAAGTGAGCGTGAACGTTTTTTTTTTGAAAGATGGTTTAGTCTCTACACCTTTACTGTTACCATCTTCTATCTAGAGAGTCGTCAGTATGTTTGCTCATGAAAATCATTTTTGGCAAATTATTAAATCCCTAAAAATTAAAAATTAAAATATTGTAAAGCTAATTAGGAGCTTTCATGTCGCTTTAGCTTCAAATATTTATAATTGTTTCATAGAACAATCATTTTGAAGTTAAGGGTTACAACCTCCATATCACAAAACCGACTAATTAGGAGCAAAAATTGGCCAAAAATCCAAAAACTTACAATACATTGAAGACACCAACGTCAACAAAGAAGCGGTAAAAATTAATAGATTACAATGGTGCGTTCATTACCTGGCACTCCGGCGGGCATGCTCGGCGGTCGGATGTTGGGCGGAATGCCCGGCGCCATGCCCGGGGGCATACCGGCCGCCATGCTGCCAACAATACACATATATTAAATACACAAACAGTTGTGAATAATAATTACTACTACTATTCGTACTTAGATCTATGACTTAAAGGCTGTGGCAAAATGTTAATATATTTTTGTTTTTAAATTTATTTAATAAAGATATTGCTGAATATTGGGGTCGATTCCGACCCCAACTGTCGATTCTGAGACGCTATAACTCTAAATTTATCTTTAAATTTAAAATTTCAATTTGATAATACAATAAAACCTTTATAAATTAAAATAATTACAAATCTGCTTTACATTTTTTTTTTTATTCAGGCGTTAACTGTCCACTGGTGAACATAAGCCTCTCCCTTGGTGTTTCACCAGTAGTTGCCACGCTTGGCAGACGATTGGCAACCGCAAACCCAAACAAAAAAACCAAAACAAAAAGGGACACTGCTGCCCATCCCTCGACCTGCCTTAATCGGTTCTTACGACACCAATGAGAAAGGAAGAGATGGCCGATTCTATGCCGAAACCACACGGTCGCTTTACAGTAGTCCATAAAACAGTAATTTTACAAAGCTATTAAATTAAAATATTAGGTAAGGGATAAGTTCAAAGAATTGGCAACTCAGCATCGGTGCCAGTATTTGCAATATTTTGCATAAGAAACCAGTACTAAAAGTAGTTTTATTTTTAAACTTTTAAACAAGCAGATTTTGATTAATTTCAAAATATAATACTCTAACCTCAGTTATTAATTAAATATATTTATATTTATAGATCTTCTAATACAATCGATAAGTGATCATAAGTACTTTTTATTAATACAAAAAAATAATAAAGCCTTTTATAAATTAGCACGGCACGATGTCATACGATTTTACTGTCACGATATAATAGCAAATTAAATTAAAAGGAAACACTTATCATTTTTCATGATGATAACATATAGACGTGAACGCATAACGATATCGTGTGAACTACATAACGATGTCGTGGGCGTGAACGACATAATGATATCGTAGACGTGAAGCACATAACAATATCGTGAGTGTGAACAACATAATGATGTCGTAGACATGAACCACATAACGATACAGTGAGTGTGAACAACATAACGATGTCGTGGACGTGAACCATATAACGATATCGTGAGTGTGAACAACATAACGATGTCGTGGACGTGAACCACATGACGATATTGTGAGTGTGAACAACATAATGATGTCGTGGACATGAACCACATAACGATACAGTGAATGTGAACAAGATAACGATATCGTGAATGTGAACATGATGTCGTGGGCGTGAACCACATAACGATACAGTGAATGTGAACAATACAACGATGACGTGGACAAGAACCACATGACGATATCGTGAGTGTGAAAAACATAATATATCGTGGACGTGAACCACATGACGATATCGTGAATGTAAACAACATAATGTTAAGTGTATAGAAATTGAAAAATTGCTAAAGTACCTTTTTAATTTCTATGCACTTCTATCATTTCTTTTTTTGCGAACTGAAGTTCACTCCTACTTTTTAGTTGTAGCGAATTGAGAGTTAGAGAACTACTATTACTGATAAGATATGGCACAAGTTGTCGTACTCTTATATTAAAATGCGTAATATAATATATATTTTACAGCATACAGTTGCCACTGTACACACAGTTCTGAGTAATACATTTTTTCTCCTTTATAATAGATTCACCAAATGAGTTAACTTACCCGGGCGGAGGCATCCTCTGTACTTGCATTGCCATGGTAGCCGCGGGGCCGGCCTGTAGCCCGGGTAGTTGCATTTGCGGCATGGACGGTGGCGGTAGCGAGGGCATGTTTGGTAGCGATGGCAGTGATGGTAGGGAGGGCATCGCCGCCGGCATGCTGCCCAGCATGCCCGCGCCCGATACCGGTGGTATGCCCGGCATCATCGGCATGTCCATTATGGCTTTGGGCAGTATCTGTTGAATAATCGCAAATAATAAAGTAAAAATACTGGTTATATAATAGTAGCTTATACCATAATACCTTATGCCGTCATGGTAAGGTGATAAGGTCATCGAGTAGTAGTGAGAACTAGACTAGTGATTCTCGGTGACAGCGTGTGCGGTGTGCCCGCCGTTAGTTTGGGGCACATGTTTAATAAAAAAAAAAAAATGTTTTTCTCACACACCGAAATTATTTATTTATTTTTATACTCAGCTAATAGTCCACTTTCACTTATTTGAAGGTTCACTTTGACTCGGGACGCGCGAGATCCTTGGTTCAGGGTTTTATTGAGCCTGAATTAATCTAACTAGTTAGTTTAACTGGCCAAACCGGCGGAACTAGGTCCGTAGTTGGACAGCAATTTGGCTAGTTAAATTACGACTGATCGATTTAGAGTTTGTATGGGTTTATAATCTTCTTCAGAAGAATACAGAAAACAAGAAACACAGATATTAAGAAGAAAACCAAAATAAGATGCTCTTCAGTATAGTATGAAACAGAAAAAGGTTATATAACGAGGTACAAAGAGAAAAGGTGGACTCTTCAAACGATAAAATGACGAGGTCTAGTGGGGCAAAGAATTGTTGGAAGGCAAAGAAAGAGATGGGCTGATGACATAATAAAGATAAAGAATATTGAAAGAAAATATTGCTATAGATAAGGAGAAGTGGAAAAAGATAGAGAAGGCTTACTTTTAGGGACTACTGAAGTGGAGAAAAAAGCTATAATAATAATAACAACGACTTTATCAAATATATAAAATTCTCGTGTCGCGGTGTTTGTTACTAAACTCCTCCGAAACGATTTTACCGATTTTTATGAAATTTTGTGTGCATACCGAGTAGGTCTGAGAAACGGTTAACATCATCATTTTTCATACCCCTCAATCATAAGGGTGACCCATAAATATATAAAAAAAAAGTTTACTTTTTTATGATTTAGCATTGAATAAAAAATAATCGCGATTAAAAAACTCCTGTTTTTTTAATCGTGATTTTTATATGCCGCAATAGGGTTGTAATCGAATATAACAATTGTAGTACGAGAAACGACATGCATAGTTGTCGAAATAATGTATATGGTAAAGCAAAGTTTGCCGAGTGAGGTAGTGAGGTGGTGAGGTGGTGAGGTGGTGAGGTGGTGAGGTGGTGAGGTGGGAGGTGGCGAGGTGGCGAGGTGGCGAGGTGGCGCGTACCCGCGGCGGCAGCCAGGGCGGCAGCGTGTCCTCGTCGACGGCGCCGCCGTCCTCGAGCGCGTCGAGCGACAGCGCGCCGAGCGCCCAGCGCGCGTGCAGCGCGGCCCACGGCAGGTACGCCACGCCCTGCTCCGCCTCCCAGTAGTCCTTCCACTCGCGCCCCTTCACGCCCTTGCCCGGCGCCCACGCCACCTGTACGTGGCCGCCGCACCACACAAACATATATACACATATCACACTCCACTACTCCCGGCTACTCTACCACTCACCGCTGATACACAAACACTGTTACTAATCCATTGTCCTCCATAAAATGTAATGATTTCTTTAAGAATTAAGGAAGACTTAAATACTAGTTGTTTGATTAAAATTATTTTGTTTACTACCACTACCCTTAGTATGAGTATATCTAACAATACTTGAAGATTGACTACCATTGATATTACTAGAAATGCTACAATTTTCTATATTAGCCATTATTCACCAACTGCTATTTCATTCATGCACATTTTGTGTCATGCTTTTACCTCTAAACAAGGAATATTTAGGCAAATCATTAGATCGCTGCTCAAAGTCTAGTGTTAAATGTTTGGCATCCAAACTACTAAACGTATAGCAAAACGTGCGTGGACGAAATGCCAGTCAGATATTGAAGGGTAATATGGAAGGCTGATGGTGGTCAATCGAGTGTTTGCAATTACACACATATTAATGGTAGTGTAATTAAACGAAATAATTTTAATTAAATAAACAGTAATGTAAACTTATGTAAAAATGTGGTCTAAAATAAATGTTTAATTTGTAATAGAATTAGTTTTTTTTTCTTTTTTTTTTTTTCTAATTAAAATAATAATTATTAAAATCAATTCAGAATAGTTCAAAACTAGTTACATACAAACTCACACAAACAACACTTTCGATTTAAAAACTAAACCACTGGACCGATTTTGATATAATTTGTACAGGAGCAATGTTTAAGTATATCCTTTCAGATGTAAGAAGGTGGTGCGGCGGCGGTGGGTGTACTGACGGTGATCTCCTTGGAGTGCAGCTTGTGTCCGTCGAGGCGCAGGCGCGCGCGCGCGGCGTCGCGGCGGCGCTCCATGACGACGAAGGCGCAGCCGCGCGGCGCCACCACGTCGATGGACACCACGCCGCCCAGCGCGCCGAACAGGTCCGACAGCTCCTCCGGCGTCGCCAGCTTCGACAGGTGCCCCACCCACAGCGTCGTGCTGCACACTGCGCCGTGTGACACACAGCGGGGGGGCAGGGGGGGAATTGTACAAATCAGTAACACCATCCGCGCTATCGGTATACGCCGGCGAGGCACCAACGAAGGATCAGTTAGCACATCGTGACGAATTCAACAAGAATTGTTCACGACGGTTTACAGGGGGAAACACGTGGAGGTCGACCTAATAGGGCGCATTGCTAGCAATGGAGCTGTCAAACTCCATTGCCAACAATCCCTTTCCCCCGGGGGAGAGGGATTATAAGTACACCTTATAAACCACCTCCACGCGGTTCCCCCTGGAAACCATCGACCAATTCTAGTGGAGTTCATCACGACGGGCTAACCTGCTTTCATCGTCATCTATCATCCCCCACTAGTGCCCTGCCAACGTATACCGATAGCACAGGGGGGGGGGGGTTACAATTCCATTATCACCCATTAAAAAGACAATGCATTATACACGTCAAATACATTCTTATCTAGCAGAACATGCTCGAACGCATCAGTCCACTGCTCGACATAAACCTCCCCCATAGACTGCCATAAAGAACGGTCCTGAGCCACCTGCATCCACTGACTCCCTGCAACGCATTTCAGGTCGTCACTCCATCTAGTGGGGGATCGTCGTACACTGCGTTTACCCGTACGTGGTCGCCACTCAAGAACCTTTTTTCCCCACCGGTTGTCGGTTAACAAATAATACAATACAATTGTATGTACTATGATGTGATGTATGACCTTTATTCAGACAAACGTCTAATCGGCTGACACTTTTTTTTTAATAAATCGAACACTTTCTTTCAGTGTTGCAAGTAATTAGATTAAAAATTTCCCAGATTTTAAATTAGAATTGAAAATTATTCTTATCTATATTAATTAAAATAGCGACTATTTTCAATTATTAGAAAGCAGAAACATATTTTGTCTTTACTTAGATATAATTCAAAATATATAAAGATGTCATGAATTATGTATAATTGAATAATTATATTTTTTATTTTTTTCCATTTTACCCTAGAATATATTTTATGCCATATACTCAATAATAAATGTACATTATGATAACTATATTTACGCAAAATGGATAAAAACAAAAATATCTGCTTTTAGGAAAACAATTGTTTGGAGATCATCTCTAAAATGTTAATTAACTACACAGTATAACCACTAGTTGTTTGACGATTTTAGCACGTCTTAAATAATTTGGGATACACGGTTCCATCTAATGACCTAGACAGGTAAGTTTTTTTTATGACCCCATCGCTTATAGTCATTTATCTATTTATTACATCAACTGGATAAGCTTTGCAATCTTCCAATACGCTCACCCAGGAAATAAATAACAAATAATGAATGAATAACACCATGTTGTGTTATAAAATTCACCATAATGCATTGCCATTCAGCTGTAGGACCTTAACATGTAACACCTTAATCCTCAGGAATGGCCTCATACCCTGTAATTCCACTGTAAAATTCCAAATTCAAACATTTACAATGCAGTGTAATTTTTTATTTTATACAACTTAGAATGGCAAACAAGCTGATGGTCCACCTGATGGAAAGTGGTAACCGTCGCCAATAGATATGAGCAGTACTATAGACATAACAGAGTATACTGTTTCACCCATGATACCCCCCATGTGTTGCCATTCCTGAGGACTCAGGTGTTATTCCTCTGTACCCAGTAAATTCACGCCATATCCCACCTTTTAAACCAAAACACAGTCATGCAAACACAGCTGCTTCACAGTTGAAACACGAATGGGACAGAGGTACCCAAGCAATCTACTTTTATACAGTCTCCCTCTGGTAAAATTGTGGATATTTGAATTTAGAATGTAGAATTGTGTGTTTAGACACAAATTTTACTTTTAAACAAGCAGAAGAAAAACAGCAGCTTTGATTACCACAAAATTAAAATGACACCAATACAAGAGGTAACTTCACCAATAATAAAAATACTTTTTTAAAATTGAAAAATTCATAAGAATAAAGATTTTTTTTAAATCGCTTATGAAATATAGTAAAACTCACCACTAAGGTTCTCTTTTTTAATAGGCGGTAATCCTTTCTTTTCTCTCTCCCTCTGCTTTTCCTTTTCTGCTTCTCTCTCTTTGTAGGATTTCTCTCGTTCTTTATCTCTGTCTCTATAATATAAAAAAAAAAAATTAGAAGAAATTCACAATAACTAAGCAATTACAATTGGCCGTGTGGTCCCGGCATAGAATAGTTCACCTCTTACTTTCTCATGTGTGTCGTAAAAGACGATTAAGGGACAGTGAGAGATGGGCAGCAGCGTCCCTTTTAAAACATCTCTAAAGCCTGACTAGTTGTCAATCCGCCTGCCGAGCGTGGCAAATACTGGCATTACTCCCCAAAGGGACGCTTATGTTCAGCAGTGGACAGTTAAGGACTGGTTATGTTCAGCAGTGTATGATGATGAAGCGATTTTATGTTCCATATTTACAACGCTTTTGCAATTTGCCATGTGGTCCCGGCATAGAATGGGTCACGCCTTCCTTTCCCAAAGATATCATAAAAAACGACTAAGACACAGAGAGGGATGGGCAGCAGCGTCCCTCTTAAAACATCTCTAAAGCCTGACTGCGGCTGCCAATCCGTCTGCTGGCATTAACCCCCAAGGGGAGGCTTACGTCCAGCAGTGAACAGTTAAGGACTGAAATAATAATAATAATAAGGCGGCTTACTCCCGGGAAAGATGTAGAAAGCGGTGCCTTTAGATATTGTCCGTATTGTACGCCGGTTTCACTCCCTGGGGCCCTGAACCGCGGCCCACTGTGCTTCTGCCGGGAGTTAGTTTGCCATCTCCTCTCCTTAAGAGGGGGATGTGAATTTTTGTAAAAATGATGTGAAGTTACCTATCGCGATCGCGCTCGCGGTCTCGGTGGCGGGCGCGGCGCGGCGACCGCGAGCGCGTGCGGGACCGCCGCCGCCGCGACCGCGACTTGGACCGCGAGCGGTGACGTCGAGACTTGGGGGACGGGCTCCTGCAACCAACACATCCATATGTAATTCTAAAACAAAACATTCTAAAAAGTTCTTAAATGACAATGTTGAAGGATGGGATAAACTGGCAACAACTAGGTGGCAGACAACAGGCAAGACTCATTATGGGTGCCTTAACTGGACATATGCCAATAAGGCATATGTCCAGTTAAGGCGAAATCGGAATCCATGGAACACTATATGTGCACCAGAACTGTGATTCGATGGCGAGCATGCGCATGAGTCTACTGGGAACGGCTTATCCAGAACCAGGGGACTACAGATATCTTAAACCACGGGATATCGTTAAGATAACACATAGGATCTATGAAATTATGGTGGCATGGACAGGCAGGGGGAAGCACAAAAGATCCCGATGGGTCGACGTGCAACGGCTTAGCTTGGGGTCACCATATGCGAATATAACTCCAAAACAAACATAAATTTTTTTAGGGATAGAAATAAAAGAAATATTATTTGACAAAAAACACAAAGTTATAAACTCAAGATACAATGGGCCCCACACTAGACGAACCTGTATTTTTTCAATATGGTTGAGTTGTTTTTGAGTTTGTCATTCCTTTCCTCTTTATAATATTAGTATATATTAACTAATTCGCATTTGAATGATAATTAAAGCATGTAACTCACCTCGAATCATTTGCATCAGGTATTTCAATGACTTGGGGGCCAGTCTCCACAAACTCTATGTCAGATTCGTTGGCGATATCATCCTTGGCCTCGTTCTGTTTCTGTTGGTCTTGCTGTGAATTCTGTAAACAAAAAAATAATTATGCAATACAAACAAAATCAAAAAGTCAATTATTTTTATTTTAAAACTAAAACACTGAATGGACTTTAATAACATTTCTATGTATCCAAACTGTAAGCATATTGTTTTAATAAAAAAAAAAAATATTGATTTATAACTGGTGAAGTTATGAGATTACAAACTTAAAAAAAAAATACAATCAAAAAACCTCCTTCTTTTTGAAGTTAGCAAATAAATAAAATTACTCATTTACTTACCAAAAATGGTAGATTTTGGTTTTGATTCTGTTGCATTTGCATATCGGACATCATGGGCATAAGATTCTGAAAAAAAAAAACAATAAAATTTGAAAATAAAAAACATTATATATGTAGTTTTTTTTTTTGCAGATTGTTTGAATAATTTACTTCCACAACATTAAGAAAACAATGAACTAGAAAACAGACAATCTAGAGGAATTTAGACACAAACATTTATAGCTTTTAAACATTTGCATTCACTGTATTTGCTATAAGATATATATTTTATTTAAGTGATAATAATAAAATAGGTCATATAGTGAGGTACAAAGATAAAAGGTGGACTCTCCAAACAACAAAATGGCGAGGTCCAGCAGGAAAAAGAAATTGTTATTGTATTGTACAGTATAAAAAAATGGTCGGATGAGTTCAAAAGTGTATCTGGTACATTGTGGCTCAAGAAAGTAAGAGATAAAAAAAATATAAAAAACACTGGAGGAGGCCTTTGTGTCGAAGGATACATTGACTATTATGCAGCCTGGCCAGTAATAGTGTAATTCTTATCTATGGTTAACAATAAAGGCTTTGAAATTGAAACTGAGTATTGAGCGGTACAATATAACTTACAGGTATTTGAATTCCAGCCATAAGCTGAAGGCTCTGCAATTGTCTCATTATGTCAGGATTTGTTAAAATGCTGGAACAAAGAAATTTCATTGTTTTATTGTATATACTCAAATATAATAATTTTAAGTGATAATAATAAAATAGGTCATATAGTGAGGTACAAAGATAAAAGGTGGACTCTCCAAACAACAAAATGGCGAGGTCCAGCAGGAAAAAGAAATGTTGGAAGACAAAGAAAGAGATGGGCAGATGACATAATAAAGATAGCAGGAAAAAACTGGACAAGTATTGCTATAGATAAGGAGAAGTGGAAAAAGATGGAGGAGGCTTTTACCCTTGGGGACCACGGAAGTGGATAAAAAGCTATAATAATAATAATAAAATATCATAAACCTTACCTACAAGAAAATTTTGCTCTAAAGAAAAATCAATGACTAGAATTGTGACAATCCAATATAATACAATACAGTACATAACATCTTAATACTTTCGGGGGAAAGGGATTGTTAGTAATGGAGACTGAGAATCCCATTGCTAGCAATATATCCAAACAGGTCGACCTTCTCGTAGTTCTCCCTGGAAACTATCATGGTTAATTCCTGATGAATTCATCATGATGGGCTAACTGGCCTGTTTTCATTCTCATTGATAACCCTTCACTGGTGCTCCGCCAGTGTATCCTGTTAGCGCAGGTGGGGTTACACTACCATTTTCACTCATAAAAAAAAAATTTTAGTACTAAGAAATGGTATGGGGTTTATCAAGGGCGAAATAGTATAAAATACTCTGTTATGTCCATGGTATTGTTCATGTCTATAAGTTATCACTTTCCATCAGGTGGGCCGTCACATTGTTTGCCATTCTAAATTTTTTTTTATGCTACTTAGAATGGCAAACAAGCTGACAGCCATAGTGATAACTGTCCCTTATAGACATGGAGATAACAGAATATACTGTTTCGCTTATGATACTCCCCAACTGAAACATAGCCATGCAAGCCATTTTTTACTATGCCAGTATTTTAATTGTATCTTTCGTTGTATTTTATTCATGTCTTGCAATATAGTTGGTAAAAAGACAGTAACATTGGAGTACACTCTATCAACAGCAAAATAGAATTATTAAAAATAGTTCAAAATTATCGACCATATCACCTAACATACACACCAATAACAGACAAATTGGTAACCTTTTCTTTTTAATAGATATTTAAAAAGCTTTCGTAAACACATACCTCCCGAGTACATCAGCAGGGTTCTGTGGTGGGTGCTGTTGATGCGACTGGAGCTGCTGGTGTGAATGGTGCGACGGCTGCGACGCCGGCGACGAGTCCAACGCCATTGGCTCATCTTCACTCTCATACTCAAAGTCGTTGAGAAGCTTACGGTTGAACTTTACATTGGACTGTCCCGTTGATTGATCCTGGAACTGAAAGTAGACATACAATTAAAAAAAAAATTATTATGTGATGCATATTCTTTGCATGTAGTTACCAATTTTGGCAAAGGGATTGGCAACCACTGGCTTTATTGATGTTTTAAGAGGAATGCTTCTGCCCTCCCTCAATTATTAAATGATTTAATTCAATTAATTATGACACCCACAGGAAAGGTAAGGATGTCCTATTCTATGCAGGGACCATATGGACTACAATTTAGAATATGAGACTAAAATGGACATTTACCTGTTCACCCATCGGTGTGGAAGCATGCGGTGTGTGCTGTGGTGGGGGTACCGGGGATATTTTGTTGTCTGACATATTGTGAGTCAAATTTAGACTGCTCCCTGAAATGTTCAAAATAAATCATTGCTGTAAATAAATATTACAGTACTATTATATAAATATCACAGAAAAAAATAATATTAGTCTTTTTTTTTAATTGTTCTAATGTCGTAGTCGTCAACAAGCCAATGTTGTTGCCACAACAAACACTATAAACCCATGATTGGACCTGCAGGGTGGTTAATAATATACTTGGACCTGCAATTTAGCTTAAGCAAGAGCAAGAGTTTTATTATCTTTGAAATAAGGTTTCCTTTTACTTTTGTTATATGAGAATGGTTGAAAATAGACAAAAATATTAGGCTCTTTAATGACCTGGAACTCGTATTTCAAATGTGATTAAAATGTGCTTTCCTCTCTGAGTTCGTCTGTATGAACAGACACTAAGAGTATCTTTCCATTACACTACTAGGTGATAGATGATGTTTACCAGTTTCCATCAGGTGGACCATCACAATTGAAATTTCATATTGCATAGAAAAAAATTATAGTTACCATTAGCTGTATTATTCTGTTGTATTTCTTGATGAAGAGGATGGTTAGGATCGGCCATGTCCAGCAATGGTTGGATAACTTGTGGACTAAACACATTGTTCTTTTGCCACAAGTTCAGTACACGGATTATATTGCGCTGAAATATTAATAAACTTTATGTTAGATATGTTTTGTGTGACTGATATATTAATAATTCAAGGGAATGGTTATTTGTAGTTAATACCATGTTTGATAATAAAGATATAGGGAGTACACAGTACAAAAATAAAAATAAGGCTGTATGCTCATTTGCCACCTTTGTGGTATAAAAGAAGTCAGAATTTTGACAGAAATTTATTAACAATTGATGTCAACTAATATTTTTGCAGGCAATGTCTCAATATCTTAGCATTTACATGAATGTTAGCATAACATAAATATGGAAATTTTGTAAAATAATGAAAATATGTAAATATTCATTTAATAGCTACATTAAAAATACTATAATAATTATTTACTAATTATATTTTAGGCTCCTATGTAAATAGTATAATAATATTATATATGTAACTTAGGGGCAGTACATGTTATCAGAATGTTTTGATTTAATATCATATTAAAATTCTATGCTTTCAAAACACAAAATTTGAGAAATGTAGCATCATCGTGTAAATGCAATACCTCAAATAAATTGCACTTAAAAAAAATACCACCATGTAAGTATTTTTTCTATTTTATCAGACAACAGTATTTTAGGTATCTGCATACAATAATCATATCCAGAGTATCAATAATATTACAAAGAGACAAAACTAACCTAAAACAATTTTACATAACTAACCTTATCTTCAGGAGGGCATCTGAACAGGTTTGCAAAGGTTTGCTGCATATTCTTTGCAAACCTTGGAGCAAACACATCCTTGTCTTGTCCAAATTGGTGCCGCGATTGCCTTACTATTGAGTCTATCACATATAAACCAGGAACTTTATATTCTGGCTTGCATTTTTGTATGAACTTTTCTACGCTGTGTACTACATGTTTGTAGAACTTTATAGCCTTTATAGCACCTCTAGTGATAGCACTCATTTTCGCCTTTGATATAGGCGGTCTATTGTCGTACAACCCGGATAACTGAAAGAAGAAGATATTTAAAAAGATGCCACGGTTTGATTTTGTATCAGGAAAATAAAATCACTATTATATACCTCCGTGTTGAACGCTTTAACTTCAGACATATCCATTTTTATTGTAATAATCTACACTAATAAATTAATTATTCAATAATACTAATAAAATTGATAATTTGTGTCAATAAAATCATTTTTGTGAAGAAATCAACACGCACAAAAGTACAAAATGGCGTGCGAATGCGAAGCATCCATAGACTAGACGCCATAAACGAATTGTCATTGGGAACGAGAATCAATGCTGCCAGGTAATTCTGCTGAAATGTGCCAAAATTGGATCTAAGGAGCCTAAAGTCGCCTAATTTTTTTTTACAATATGGATCTTTTTAGTACTTTGTAAAGTACCTGTATACATTTCTTATGTCCCTTTACCGCATTTAATCCAGGGAAACTAATTTGGATTGCCGCGTGGTCCCAGCAAAGAATGGGACACTCCTTCCTTTCCCGTGGGGGTAGTAAGAGATGACTAAGAAAACTTAATGGTCAAGGGTTGGGCAGCAGCGTTTTTCTTAAAATATCACCAAAGTCTAACTATAACTTTCAACCCGCCTGCTTAACATGGACTGCTGGCACCTCTTCAAAACCCTTCTTAATGAGGAAGGTTTATATTTGATAATGGACAATTAATATGATGATGATGATAATAAAATTGAATAAATATTAAATTTAAAAGAAAATAAAAAAAATTATAAAGTATAAAATAAGTTAACAATAAGCAGTTCCGAGTGAACCCGATTGACTTTATCTCATGTTCAAGTTTTTTCAAGGACTATTGCATTAAGACAAATCAGCGAGGATACAAGATATTTAGCATTATCTGTAGCTCCTGCAGCAATTCAACCATAAAGATGACATTCACTGTAAATGGTAAGTGAAAAATGTGCTCACAATTATTTTGATGCCACAACTTTTCCTCTCCAGCATTGGAAACATATTCTTATATGACATTCCCTTTTCTCACTCATCGACACAGGTGGATATGATCATTTCGATAGTTGTGTATGTATAGGGACAGTCATTATGGAAGTAGGTATAGTAAAAACATTTCAACATTACGATTGGAGCTTCATGACTAACAATGTCTTTCCCTCTTAGTTTGGAGATTAAAATTTTTTATGTCTACGCGCAAGAGGTCTGTGATAACTCTTGAGAATAACTTATATACATAGCTTTATAGCGATATAGATATATATATATATAATCGGCGTATATATTTTCAATAACCTATTATATAGTAGTTAAATACATATATTTATATGTTCGAGCAGCTTATCTATATAGTGGCATGTCAAAATAGTTCCACGATCTCCTGTATATGATTTAGGTGGAGATACATTGGAGGCAATGCGTATACTTTACTTAAGAAGTCTTTAACCTCAGACAAAATTTTCAACCAACGTAGTCAAATGTTTTTTTTTCTTAGTGGTTGTGTTATCAAAATATTACTATTCAATTACTTATTGTGTTTTTATATAAAATTGACAAGAAATAAAAAAAAAAAGATTTTTACATTTTCTATTAGTAGAAATCAGTGATAATTGGAACATTATGGTAAAAGCTTCAATTAGTGATAAAAAAATCACCAAATCATTATAACTTAGCTTTTTATTTTTTATAGCCCAAAATTACTATATTCTATACTTTTCTTTCAGTTTCACAAAGGTTGACTGTAAGATTTCAACTTACAGATTTATGGGATAAGTCTGCCATTGTATATTGAATTTATTAATGAGTTTGTTATAAATTATATATAATAAAGATTTTACAATATAATACAATTTTTTTCCGAAATAGTCTAAACGTAACTGTTCGTTGATTGACACCCTTTGAAATAGCTCAAAAGGTGAAAAGTTGCCTAATCTGGCAGTATTGATGGATAGCGCCTGATTGGCAAAGACTAAGTATGGAAAAAAAAATATCTATATTAGAGATTACATTATATTCTAAATAAAAAGAATTATGGTTTTTATAGAAAACAGCGAAAAATATTTTTTTTTTTTACAACACAGGGGGCAAACGAGCATGCGGCTCACCTAATGGTAAGTGATTACCGCCGCCCATGGTCACCCACAACACCTACGGCATTGCAGGTGTGCTGCCGGTCTTTTAAAAAGGAATATGCTCTTTAAAAGGCCGGCTTTATAATATTTAATTTTTCTCTTAACTCATTTTTACATTATACAGTTTCTGTTGGAAAAGGGAAGAACCACAGACAAGAGAGCACACACTATCTTAAAAAAAAAATACAAGAGTTGCCATCTATGAATAACATTAATAATATTTTTGGACCTTTAGTGAAACACTTAATACTCCAACAAAAATAAAGAATCAAGAAATGAATGTATTATTTTGCTATTTAACTATGCTATGTCTGTGCTATTTCTATGTATAAATTTGAACCCACAATACAGGTTTGCATGCCTAGTGTGTAATTCGTAGTTAATGGCCAATGTAAAAGTGTCTTTAGCAAATAAATATTATTTTAATTTTAAATATTGTGCTTAGACAAATACATATTATTCTTAATCAATTATTTATTGCACTTAAGACCACAGATAATGTAGCTCAAGCATCAGCCACAGAGATCTATGGCGAACGTACATGACATATATGTCATTTAGTTTTAATAATGTCATTATTTATCTCTTTAGTCTATTTTTTATTTGATATACCCTTGAAATATTATTCTTTTAATTAAATTCGCCAAAATAGTTATTTTAAAATAATAACTAGATTTTTAATAAACTTATAATTTATTACATAGAATTATGTCTGATGAATATGCTGCTGTGAAAAGGGGGAAACTTATTCTTAAAGGAGACAAGCCGAAGTAAGCAACTAAATTGTTTTTTCGATGTAAATAACGTTGATCAAATTAAACAATAATATTTGTAGTGTAAATTATAAATAATAATACTTATATGAATTAAGTGTATGTTAATGAGAATTCCTCGCTAGTTAAAAATACTTTAAAGTGAATAATTTCATCAACGGGATTAGACAAAAATGGGTTATGAACCTATTTTTGTATGATTTTATTGTAAAAAACACCTCTTTTTGATCTGTTAAGAATTTTTACTGTAACAATTTATACTCTTTTTCAAATAAACATATTCATTTACGAATAAATAAACTGCAAATGATATTAAATTTAATAATCAGAATCATCATTGGAGTACTATAGTATTTATCACTGTTTTACCTATATATTTAATTGAACATTGAATTGAATTTGTAAAAATCATGTGTAAGATATTGAACACAAAAAGTATAACTGTTTGTTCTGGGGGGAAAGGGATTATTAGTAATTGGGTCTAACTGCACTATTGCTAGCAATATCCTATCAAGCAGCCCTTCATGCAGTTTCCCCTTGTAACAATTGTGATTAATCCCTGTGGAATTGCTTTCATTCTTATCTATTATATCTCTCACTGTAGCCCCACTACTATATACTAATTGGGGTTTACCATACCATTTTTACTCATTATGAAAAAAAAAGAAATAATTGCTTAGTTCTTAGGAATGGGAGGTGCTATGGTCGACACAGTGTATTCTGTGATGTTTTTAATGTATGTTACAATATAACAGATATGAATATCTATTTGGTAGGTGAAATGGAATATAGCGAATTGTGAATTATATTGGGAGTCATTCTGGAAAAGGCTGGGTACAGCTTTTACTATACATTTTATTTATTAGTATTGTATCTAGTAAGCCTTCTCACCTATAATACCCATAGAAAATTTCATATCTTACATAATTCTCGTTGCTTACTTACAACATGTAAATTCCTGTGTAAAAATATCAATATTTTATGTCTACATTATTGTCTGTCATTCATTTAGGATTTGCCCAGTTGTTAAGCATGTATTTTTTGTACATGTTTTTTATATGTATGTTATTGTAAATATATCTTCTTTAGGGCAAAGAAACGGAAACATAAGAAAGCAGAGAAATCTGAAGACTCCAAAGTTGATGAGGACTGCGTCAGACATGGAGGGTGGTGGAAAGCTGCCAAAATAGAAGATGTCACAGGATCCATATCTATTGAATTTGGGAATAACACATACATATCAGCTTTGGATAATGGCTTATTTACTATTGGAGCCCCTCACGGGGATGGAGAGGGGCCGTCACCAGAAGAAATATTTACAGCGTTCCCGGCTGGTGAAAACAAGTTTGCACTGAAGTCTGGGTATGGGAAATATTTGGGGGTATCCAAAGATGGAGTAGTTATAGGCAGATCTGATGCTGTTGGACCAATGGAGCAATGGGAACCTGTTTGGCAGGATGGTAAATAGCTATAACTTTATTGTGATATACTATTTCCTTGTGATAAATAAGAAATAAACAAATATTAGAAACAGAAATTTATCCTTATATCTTTAAATGTTAGTTATCACTTTACATGGTCTGTTAGTTTGCTATTCCAAGTTGCGTAAACTTTTTTTTTATAACAATGCATTCTGAAATTTAAATAAAATATAATGGCCCTGATAGTAGATAGGATAAATTGACATTTTCATCCTGTCATAAGTGGGATATGGCTATGATGTTATGGGGTACATAGGCATAACACTTTAGCCCTCTTTGGGGAGAAAGGGATTGTTAGTAATGGAGACTGAGAATCCCATTACTAGCAATATACCCGGCCAGGTCGACATCCTTGCGGTTCCCCCTGGAAACTATCATGGTTAATTCCTGATAAATTCATCATGATGGGCTAACTGGCCTGTTTTTATTCTCATCTATCACCCTTCACTGGTGCTCTGCCAGCGTATCCTGTTAGCGCAGGCGGGGTTACCATACCATTATCCTCCATCAAAAAAAAACCTTAGTCCGATACAATCATGACTAATTTATTGTTAGATTCGTCATGGGCTATTCGATTCGATGGGCTAACTGACCTGCCTTTTCATCCTCACCTATCACTTCTCACTGCTACCCCGCCAGTGTATACCGATAGCGCAGGCGGGGTTACCATACCATTTTCATTCATTAAAATAAAAACATCAGACGACTACGTCAGGAATGGCAATGCATAATCATATTGGGTGACATAGTATACTCTGTTATGTCCATAGCGATTGTTACCACTTTCCATCAGGTGGGATGTCAGTTTGTTGGCATTTTAAATTGCATAAAAAAAAAATACAACAAGTCCATGTTAATAATCAGGTAGCACTTGGTGACACTTTATACATATAGAAGAATAACAATATTATTTTGAAAAATTACAATGTTTTTATAACAATATCAATACTTTGTAAGGTTTTTTGTTACTAACACATATATTTTCTCTGAAAGTAAACATACATTTTTTACTTTTTCTTTCTCATAAACACAAAACAGGAATACAATTTATTGTACATGTCCCAATTAATTTTCAGGTAAAACAGCGATCCTTAGTTCTTTAAACAAATTCATGTCGGTGAATAGTGAAGACTCAGTGGTGGCGGAGAATTCTATGGCTGGCGAGCAAGAATTCTGCAGTATACGCAGCAATAAGAGCAGGGAAGTGAATAAGGTGGTCATCCCTGAGGAGGAGCAGGGTGATCTGGCTGAAGTCGAAGTTAATTATGTGTAAGTTATTTTTACTCAGCGCTCTATTGCTCTGTAGTATCAGTGTTTCTGATGTCCATCCTGCTGTTGGCGTTACTTTTTTTTTATTACTGCTTCATCGGAATTTCGATGATTTGGCCAATGTTAATGGAAAAGACACTCATGATCGTCATTTCAGCTGTCATCTGTCCACTGCTAAACATAGGCTTCCCTCATAGACAGCGATAAGAAATGGGTGCGTTCCTTATGGTAGTTTACTATTAGGGGGTATTTTATCAGTGGTTATCACGCTCTTTGTTTGTGCTACGGAGACTTTGTACAAAAGTCGATTGCTTGGGTACCCCTGTCCCATTAGTGTTTCAACCGTGAAGCAGTTGTGTTTGCATGGCTGTGTTTCGGTTTGAAGGGTAGGATATGGCGTGAATTTACTGGGTACAGAGGAATAACACCTGAGTCCTCAGGAATGGCAACGCATGGGGGATCATGGGCGAGACAGTTACATACATAGACAGGCGACATACTCTGTTATGTCCATGGTACTGCTCATGTTTATAGGCGACGGTTACCACTGTCCATCAGGTGGACCGTCAGCTTGATTGCCATTTTAAGTTGTATAAAAAAATAACCAAATCGGTTTACAATTGACGGAGTTATTACGTAACAAAAAAAATACAGTCATATTTAAGCTATTTGAAGTCAATTATAAATAAGTACATAGACAATGAAACACTATAGGTATATAATTGAAATATTTATTAAACTTTCAGAAAGAAATTTCAAAAATTCCAAGACAAGAAACTTCGTGTTAACGACGGCAGCGTGTCGGAGCTGAAGCGAGCCAAGCTGGACGGGAACCTGCACGAGACGCTCCTCGATAGAAGAAGCAAAATGAAAGCCGACCGCTATTGTAAATAATATAGACACTTTTAGTATTATATTTTTAATTGTAATTACTAATTATTAAATGTATTGCAAAAAAAATTGTTTTTTATTAGTATCCAGCGACCCACACCGGTGTATTAAGGTTGGATAGCACTAGTAAAAAGTCTCGAGTGGTTACCAGGGCTACCATCTGTTGTCATCGGTCATCTCTCTCGTGAAAAAACTGAATAAATATAAACGATTGTTTCGTAAATCGTGTAATAATAAGTGTATATCTGTCTGGTTTTAGTCAAAATTCCCCTAAAGTGCACCTGGCACTATACTGCATAATATTTATATATCTACTTCCATTCCAACTCTCATCATCAGTCTGGTAAGCCACTCTGTTTTATCTGTATTACGGTGCAGCACGGTTTTTTAACACAGAATTACCATTTGTTATAACTTCTTTATATTATAAACTTTTAAATTGTTTTTATCCATGAATGTAGCGTTCAGAATATGCGAGTCGTCTGTCTATGATTATTATTAGATATCCTCCAAGTCCGCTATTTATAATAGGAATTAAATGCTAACAAATTGATTGTTAGGAAACGTAAAAAAATTCTAAATTAAATTCACTGAGAATCGAACCCAGGATCTCATACAATGCAAATTCCACCATTGCGCCAACGACGCTGATTAAAATAGGTATTTAAATAACAAAACACATATAATTTGAGATTTATTTATTTCTCATGTAATAACATTCGGTACAGTGGCCTAAACGCTTCGAGAGTAATTTTTTTTTGTATACACCGTCATTTACAGAGAAACGAAATGATTCGTTACAATCATAGAGAATTTGAATATAATCTACCTACATGCCTTATATAAAATCATATCTACACCTAAACCTAAGTATGTTAGACTAGACACGTGGGTACCTAGTCTATGGAACTTGATAACAGTGGCATTATCCAGTCTAATGTTAGCGCGATACAAATAAATTCGCTCGTTGTCTATGACACCACCAAACGACATCACCAGGGGTTCACAAAATTTTTTATAAAAAAAAAAATAACATTTATTTTTCTAAAAATGTGCTTACGGCTTTATATTTACGGCTTATGGGGCAATTTATTATTTTTGAATATATTTGTTAATTATATTGTTATGACGACATTGACCATGTGATGCCAACATAATAAAAAGTTTGGTCATAGCGCCATCTTGTCCTAAACTAAGCAGAGCTATGGGTACTAATGGAGTAATGGACAGGTTGGCAAAAAAACTGAAACAGTGAATTCAGACCACTATTCTGAACTAAAAACCAATGGGAATTTTTGTCCGGAGATTTTTTTTTTTAATTGTGTAAGGTCAACGCCACAAGCATTTCGTACTACCTACAAAGAAGTGACATTCCTACGTATCATGCATCTTTGGATCGTAAAATTTTAAATACATTGCGCGGCGTCAAAACTAAGAATCTTTAATATGGCTGTGGTGCATTTCCGGCGGGAAAACAATCTGTCATCTGATTCAGATGAAGTTTTCGTTTTTGCCAACCTGTCTCCCTGTACAGACAGTGTCTAGACTAGACCAATATAAGCAGATATCAACACAAATATTTGTACTGTACGAGGATCGAATCGGCGACCATCGGAATGTTATAACTGTATAATAAAGCCGTGTTACGCAGTTAGACTAAGGTTTCATTATAGGTTTGTAGAAATATACATCGACAATACAATAGTAATTAAATAATACATAACTTTTTGTTGTTAAGCAAAACTGCCATGTCTATGTAGTAAACAAACTTTGCAATACATTTTATTTCTGTTGGATCACTAGTGTCACTATTTGACAACGGAAAGCACGCCATCGTGTTTTCTATCTTTTATAGTACCGTTGTTTTCAAGAATTAGCAATCGATCATGATGGCAACTTAAACATAATCTATTTGCTGTTGATGCAATACAAATATAGTCGTGAATTTTTGTTAAATTAACTCCCCCAAGGGTGTCCTTTAGTAGTGTCCTCATAAACGAACGAAACATTGATCCTGATTGAATCAATAATACAAAATAAAATTGTACACATTACTCTGCTAACTTACGTATAGATTCCCTGCTGCTGTTTGTATAAGGTAATATTTGGGGAAAAAAAATATTTTGAACATATCTTTCCACGCTTATATGTCGATAAAAAATTTTTAGTGCGTTCAGTGACTGCGTACATCGTTTTAATTGGATAAAACTAATTGGAGCATCTGCGTTAATTACCGTAAACAATCAATGATTCATATACTTCTAACATATTGTTGCAAATATACTCCAAATTGTATGAGACTGACATATCAGCTTCGAATGCCAATTTCATACAATGTCTAGTCTTCACGAATACTCTTAATTTTCAAAATCATCTATCTAGGCATGGGTAATAACAGTATCGCTCCAATATCTATATATCGACATTAACTGCAGATAGATGACGGGCAGATCATACCCATTTCGATACTACCCAATATTTATATAAATTCCGATGGTATTCTTCAAGTTGGACAAGCAATATTTGATATATCCATTCCTAGACCAATACATAGATATTGGAACTGAAATATATAGATATTACTATATATTATATACCCATTCTGTATACAGCAACCATTTCAGTTTTACGAAAAAATAAGTGTCTCGTAAATATTGGTAATTAAATTTCTATTTATAATAAATGTATGAATGAACAAAAAAAAAAAAAAAAAAAAAAAACACGAGCGTAGTATCCCCACCAACTTTGTCAATTTAATGATATTTGATTAATAGACTCGAAGATACTCTAACTGCATTGGTTGTACTATTTTATTGTATAAAATATTAAACAGGATCGGTGGGCAAATATAATAAATACCATTACTTAACACAAAATTGGTTCGAGACGATACAACTAGAGTATTATTGTTGTTACAATTTTGTCATCCGACTGTGGAAAGTGTAATATACATACATATATCTATAAATAAATGCTAGAAATATACAATCGAAACTTAATTACTACTACTGGGTGAATTCGAAGTCATCAGCAACATTTTTAGCGAGCATTATATTAGTAAAATTGAAGATATTTCATTATAAAATGACAAATAATGACTTTTTATATGATTTAATATTGTAACAAGGTACGACTAGTCCAATAAAATATTAAAAAATAATTAAAACGTTTACAATGACTTCAATTGTACTAAAACCAGTTATTTCAATTTAAAAACTAAACTATTGATCCGATCTTTATAAAATATCTAGAGGTCAATCTGTACGTATATACTTTGAGATAAAAAAAAAAAAGAATTTTCCAAAACGGTTTACAACTCATAAAGGAAAATATAACCGAATTGAGAACTTTCATATTTTTTTAAGTCGGTTAAAAATGTAAAGCATCCACGATTAATAGCTGGAAGCTACTCTCTCGTATCGTCGTAGGAACTCGTATTAGAGGCAAAGATTTTTTGTCCATTTTCAATTTAACCGGTGTTCTACTCATTAAAATGATGCTAATGATTTTGATGTCACGTTGTATATTTTGGAAAAATATATATAAAATACTATGTAACTTTACTATAAAGTACAATTTATTATGTGACCTTACCGCTGGGCTCCTCTCGAAGCTAACACATAAACCGCAACGTGCAATTCGTTTGTTGAGAACAAAACACAATTCTAATCTGATAGAAACTATATATATATATATATATATATATATATATATATATATATATATATATATATATAAAACTTTTATTTTCAATTAATTTAAATGTAGACTTGGAATTTGTTGTGATTTTTAATCGATAATCGTTAGAGAAAATCAAAATTCAATACAAGTAGAATTTATAATTCGATATACATTTTTTTAAGAGTGCCGGCAAATTTATTCGACTTTTGTGCTTCCCACTCTTCAAACCGAAACACAACCATGTAAACACAACTGCTTCACGGTAGAAACACGAATGGGACAAGAGGTATCCAAGCAAACGACTATATATAAAAACATAACTGTTCTCAAGATATTTTACTTTATTTATGTTTTTGTATCGAGTAAGCATTGTGTGACTCGAGATGAGCAACATTATATTCCGTCATCAGGCTCAATAACAGCTTCGTCTCCTACCCTGATGACGTCTTCAACAATCAGGGCACTAGTAACTTTTAAATTTCATTCATTGCACGTGTCGACTGAATTAAATCGAAGAAATTTGCAGGCACTTCAATATTAAAGATCATATTTTTTGGTTACAGTTAAAAAACTGCCACTTTTACAGTTGATAGTTAAGAGTTTTGTGTCACGTATAAATTCTCACTTTTTCACAACCACACAACCCGCGTCAGTAATATTTCTCCGTACACCATCCGCTCGCATGTTATATCACTTTTTGGGCGATTTTTAAATATAAGTATGAAAATAAGTATATAATGTAAAATTAAGCTCGCACCTCCCTATTTTAACAGCCGACTTCCAAAATGAATGGTGCAATATTTCTTCCCAATTACATTATAGTTGCCATTGCAAAGTCAGCCATTTTTGTATATGGCAACTATAAATATCAATACATTTATACAAATCATCTTCAGCACAAAATATCAATAGAGAAAACGACTAGTGATTATTTTTAATTAAAGCATTATTTATAATGCTTTATTATTTATCAACATTTCACAATGAATTGTTTAATTAGTTAAATTCGCAATAAATTCAAAATTTCCCCCCCTATTGAAGTAGCTTAAAATCCAATGATAAGACAAAAATATAGAACTACAAGTGTGAGTTTAAAGCAATCAAAAGTAAGCTATTACAAACCGCCAATACATAATCCTAGGATTTTTAATATAGTGCAAATAATAATGTTATGGAAAAAAAATATGCAAAATACAGTTTTCTTATTAGGATGAATTGGTAATTTGATAGTTAAAACATATATATTGGTGTATAGACCGAAACATAATAGTATGATCCAAATATTTAGTATAAAATATAACGATACAATAACTAGAACGATATTTTTAATGGAGTCGAAATATGAAATTGTTATCTGCATGCCACAGTAAACAGGGCGTAATGAATAGGTTGGCAAAAACCGATACATCATTATTATTCTGAACTAAAAACCAGTGGGAATTAATTCCGGAAAATTTCAAATTATTTTTCTATTCTTTATATTTATTTTATTTATTTAACTCTTTATTTCACCAAAAACATTAAATTAAACAATGACTAACAATTCAGAGGGATACTTTGTACAATTTGCACAATTGAGTGAATTTACAGGGTACAGAGGAATAACACCTGAGTCCTTAGGAATGGCAACGTATGGGGGGTACCATGGGCGAAACAGTATACTCTGTTATGTCCACGGTACTGCTCATGTGTATAGGCGACGGTTACCACTTTCCATCAGGTGGGCCGTCAGCATGTTTGCCATTCTAAGTTGTATAAAAAAAAATTCAACTGAAATACAGTAGCATGTAATTTTTTTTTTCATTTAAAATCATGTTATCTGTGATGTTATAATATAAAGAAATAATATTTTTCTGTGAAATACTATGAAATATCGAAAAACAACAATGTAATATACGTATTAAAACCCTTTCGCGACGCGTAGAATCGGCTGTGAAGGTCAACGCTACAAACGTACGAAAACTACTTATAAAGAAATCGTGTGGATAGTAAAATTTCAAATACATTGCGCGTCATCAAAACTCAGAATCGTTAGTTGTATGGCAGTGATGGATTTTCGGTGGGAAAATAATCTACCATCAAATTCAAACCATTCATCTGAATCAGCTGTTTTCGTTTTGGCTAACCTGTCCCCTTCCACCTTGTAGTTGCATCTAAACGCCTTCGGAGTGTCCACAAAACGGGAGCACTATTATCAATCAAGACGAAAGGAGGATTGTATATTATTGTATCACGACAAGATATCGTACGATTTTATCGTTACGATATAATAGTGAAGGAAATTATATGAACATGTATGATTACACCATATCGTATTCGTGCACACGCGTAATGTAATACAAATTGCGTAAACTTATAGCTGAAACATTGAGAGTTTTCGTATGTTGCGTAAATATAAAAATACCGGTGTGAGAACACTGATTTTCACATTGAATTTTGGGCGTAACAATATACAAATTGCGTAAAATACTAATTGAAGTTTCTATATGTCGCGTAAATATAAAAATATAGATTATAAGGAACACTAGTTTTTATATTCAAATCAATACACTACCTTTAATTGAGGACTTAACTCTCTGATCACAAACGTAACATGTTACGAATTTCACATTTATATAAACAAACACAAAATAATCAGTACTATAATAATTTAGAAAATACCTTTATTTTAATATAAATCTAATATTTAAGAAAGTAATTTTTTTTATATTCGTATTATATTTGGAAAAGATTTATTTCATTAAACATTTACATTGCGCGTAAAAATCTACAATTTACGGCGCAGCGTAAATTTAAGATATTTACGCAACTTTTTCATTACGCATTCTATGATAGTACAGAATTCCGTGATAATAAAGTATTATTAAGAATTTACCCAAACTTTCCCCTTTGGGGTAACCAGAGTAACCGCAGGGCGAGGGTAAACAAATCAAAGATATGAGCTTACTTTATGATACTGACAAAATATGTTAGTTCAGACAATAATTTATATGAAGTAGAATTACTTTGGTCAGTAATAACAAGTTTTACAGTCAACGTTCAATACACATGTGGGTCTCTCAAGTATATTTGCTTATTGTTGTCCTTGTTTAACGCTATTAAGTTGACTAGGGTGCGACAGGGACAAAGATGGTCAAATGTTTTTATCGGGACAAACATAGTCCATGTCACACTTTTGTCAATTTTGACATGTTTAATTGTATTTAAAATATAATAGTAAACCTGGTTATTAATGACTGATGTAGTAAAGTTAAGAAAAAAAATAATAATTACATGCACAGTACATGGCTAGAGTTTACATTTAATTCGGGAATCATTAGAATTACAATATCAGGAATGATTAGAAATTTAATTAATAAACGAGGGGGACAAGACATATATTCGTTTTGGATTACACATAGAATGTAATGATGTGGTTGGAATACATATTGCACTGTACTAAGCGGTCCAAGTTTCATATATTGTATAGGTCAAGAGCAAACAATGCTTGTGGTCTCAATATTCTAAGATTAATGTGAAAATATTGCATAGATGTTTGATAAACGACCAAATGGAATTGGATGTAATTTGTTAAACAGATAGAATTGTGTTGATATTTTTTAGTCATAGTACATTTTGTATTCACAAATTATTTACATTGTTTTACACAAATTGTTTGTTTTTTCTCTATTCTATTCTAAGTTGTATAAAAAAAAAAAACATTCTTTACAAAAAACAAAGTATTCCCATTTCCACGTTAATTATGTGTAAAAAGTATAATACAATATGGAATTGCGTTTGTAAATTAGTTACATGTGAGTTATCTTGTGTAATTAGTTAAAGGTTTAATTTTTTTTTAATATTTTAAATATATTTAATCTGTTGGTAAAGAATTATGAGTAGTGTCGCTGGATTTATCTTTGCATTAGTTTATTTCTTGGGTTATCATAAAGTGTATGTATTCAACGAGTATATTGCAATATATATAAATTTAGATATAGCTGAGAGTTGATAATACATAGCATTCATAATTTTTTAATTAGACTTATAATTCCAAATCAGAGCATAATTAGTAGGTCAGGTCATCAGTCTCACACTGACGAACAATGACATATTTTGTACACACATTGCAAATATTTTTATTCAGAACATGAAAACTGTTTACTTCAAAAATCCGTAGCTTCATTTATCACAAAATTAACATGGTATCAATATGGGAGTAAACCCTAATGATTTTGAAAAACTTGTGAAACTAAAAACAAATTCAAATAAATCACCTCCTTATTCTCAGGGTATTAAGAGCACAAGCAGCGTATATGTAGCGTTACGTGTCGGACGACGATAGTACAGTTCTAGTTGAACCTGAGCGTGTTGTGGGCGGCGCGGGCGGTGTGTGGTGTGTTGCGGGCGGCGTGTGCGGCGTGTGCGGCGTGCGCGGCGTGCGGGGCGCGGCCTCAGCTGGCGGGCGGCATGGCGGCGTCCGCGGCTCGTTCCGCCCGCAGCCACTCCACGAACTCGTCCAGCATCACCGGCCCTGCAAGCATACATTCAGTGTTTCTTTTTTTTATACAACTTAGAATGGCAAACAAGCTGATGGTCCACCTGATGGAAAGTGGTAACCGTCGCCTATAGACATGAGCAGTACCATGGACATAACAGAGTATACTGTTTTGCCCATGATACCGCCCATGCGTTGCCATTCCTGAGGACTCGGGAGTTATTCCTCTGTACCCTGTAAATTCACGCCATATCCCACCCTTCAAACCGAAACACAGCCATGCAAACACAACTGCTTCACGGTTGAAACACGAATGGGACAGAGGTACCCAAGCAATCGACTTTTGTACAAAGTCTCCCTCTGGTAAGTACAAGTGTACAGGGCAACATTATATACTCATTTTTTTTTATGGGTGAAAATGGTATGGTAATCACGTCTGCGCTAACGGAATACGCTGGCGGAACACCAGTGAAGGGTGATAGATGAGAATGAAAACAGGCCAGTTAGCCCATCATGATGAATTCATCAGGAATTAACCATGATAGTTTCCAGGGGGAACGGCGAGGAGGTCGATCTGGTTGGGTATATTGCTAGCAATGTGATTCTCAGTCTCCATTACTAACAATCCCTTTCCCCCCATTATACACTCATTATTGGCGGATACCAACTCCACAGTATCACGTCTTTGCAAGCTGTTGAATAATTGCAAGCAACGGGACTGGGATTTCTATATGAATGCATTTTTTTTATGGATGATAATAGAATGGTAAATTCATCTACGCTATCATATAATACACTACATAATAGGGCATATTGTTAGCAATGGAGCTGTCAAACTCCATTGCTAACAATCCGTTTCCCCCCACCAGTGTATATTGTTCGTGCAGGTGGGGTTACCATTCCATTATGATCCATTAAAAGATGTGCAGGGTGTGGTAGCGCGGTAGTGTGGTAGCGTGGTAGTGGTACTGACATGCGCCGTCTGCGTCGTAGGTGGCGAGCTGCGCGTCCACGGTGCGGCTGAACTCGAGGATGTTGCACCACTGGTCGCGGTTGACGACGCGATAGCGGCGCTCGCGCTGCAGGAACTCGGCCAGCGGCGGCCGCAGCGGCCAGCGCGGCAGCAGCACGCCCAGCAGCGCGCGCGCCGTGCCCGTCTCCAGCGACCGCTGGTCCTTGTCCTGAACAAGTCCACCCACAACGTTCAAATGAGGATAAATAATGAGAATAACACTCGACAAGGGGAAAAAGTATTCTTAGCAATGGGGTCTAAAAGTCCCATTGGTATCAAAATACCTTATCAGGTCGACAACACAGAAGGTACATTTAGATATTCATAGAAAATGGCAGTATCAAGAATAATCTGAGCATAGAATGAGCTACCCCTTGCTTTCCCGTGGCTCTCATAAGAGGCGACTAAGGGAGTTAAATAGTCGAGGGTTTTTTTAATGGGTGAAAATGGAATGGTAACCCCGTCCGCGCTATCGGTATATACCGACGAGGCACCAGTGGAAGATGATAGGTGAGAGTGAATGTAGGTCAGTTGGCCCATCATGATGAATTCGACAAGAATTTACCATGATGGTTTCCAGGGGGAACCGCATAGAGGTCGACCTGAGAGGATATATGCAATGGGGCTATTAGACCTCATTTCTAACAATTCCTTTCCCCCCAATAGTCGAGGGTTAGACAACAGTGTTCCTCTTAAAAAAATCACGAAAGCCAAATTCCATTTTTTTTTTGATGGGTGAAAATGGTATGGTAACCTCGCCTGCGCTAACGAGATACGCTAGAGCACCAGTGAAGGGTGATAGATGAATAGAATAGAATAGAAATCATTTATTCAAATAAGCTTACATTGAAGCACTTTTGAATAGTCATTACATTTTTTTTAATCTACCGCTCGTTCGGAAAGCTGTCTCATCACAAGAAGAACGAGCAAGAAACTTACTCTTTTAAATAATTTTATTATTACTTTACATTTTTAAGTTTAATTGTGTGAATACAAACCACCAATTATATAATATAATTAAATATATAAAATAAAAAATATATGAATACATAACCAACTGGTTAAACAATTAATAAGAGGAAATCAGTCATAGTGATTAGAGCAGACCAGTCCCTACAAGCAGCACCCGTTCACGAGTATGACGGATGAGCCAGCCATCACTGCGCTCGACCATATTTTAGGGAGCCCAATGATTGGCCCACCACGCCGCCACAAGTCTGGACATTTTAGTGAGCATGACTACTCAAAACACTAGACCACGTCAAAGCTACTCACAATTGCCATCTGATAGTTATGATATGATGATATGATGAGAATGAAAACAGGCCAGTTAGCCCATCATGATGAATTCATCAAGAATTAACTATGATAGTATCCAAGGGAACCGCGAGGAGGTCAACCTGGTTGGATATATTGCTAGCAATGGGATTCTCAGTTTCCATTACTAACAATCCTTTCCCCCTGCCAAACTGCAGTTACCCACCTGCCAGCCAAGCATAGCAACTACTGGCGAAATCTCCTTTATTTATTTGATGTGTAATAATTTTATATTATAATATTAAAATACTTACCCTAGCAAAATCATATGAATATCTGTATACAGCCTTAAATACGTAGGGGTCATTGAGTAAATTGCGTAAATAATCTAATTTATTCTGCAACTTTTGCACACTATCACACTGAAGCTCTGTTAAACCTGAAAATGGAAATGCTTTGATAAAAAAAAAACCTAAATTACCAGACTTATATTATTTTTAAAACTTAGGTTCAGTTTTTAACAATGTCTATATATATACATATATATATATATATATATATATATATATATATATATATATATACACACACACGACGGTTTATAAATTTACTCAATGCGAGGCAATAAGTTCATAAAATTCACATTGTGCTTGCATAAAGAATTATCAGACTTAACTATATGTTTAACAAATCTTAAATAGATCATGAATTGCAGTAACAATAACATGAGTGTTAATATTATTATAGTATATGAATCTTTAGAAGATTTTGATGAGAAAAAAATTTAACATCCTCTACTTTTTGACAGTCATCTGCATCTATCAAGCTCCTAGAACTCAGCTGAGGCTCTCTATTTATATATATAACTGAAGACTTCCAGATGAAGTTGCATCAATCATCAGAAACGACAAATATAGTAAGTACATAAAATTCTAGTTATATATATATATATATATAGTTTTAAAAATAAAAATAATATCATTTGAGGCTGTCACACCATTTAATAAAGGCAGGTCATATGTTAAGAGGTAATACTAAATGGACCAATGCTGTAACAGAATAGATTCCTCGTTACAGAACTAAAAGGAAAACAGGCCGCCGACATAAATGATGGTTTTTTGAGGTTAAAAGTGTTGCAGGTACACTGTGGCTCAGGACAGAAAAATATGGAAAACAATGGAGGAGGCCTATGTGTCGAAGGATACGTTGACCCAGCGACTGCTGAGCAGCGTGACCAGTACTGGTGTAATTATAATTTATGGCCAACAAATAAAGGTTTTTAAATTTGAAAAATATGAAAATAACATTAATTACCTTTTAGCCATTCTTCTTGCGTAAAATAACCCATTTGTTTGGCGCCCATCTTGTAAGCTATTACCAACATTACAACATTTTCTGGGTCCACTCCTAAGTCTTCACAAAACTTTTCCATACCTTCAGGACCTGATGAAGAAAATCTATTAGTAAATGTATACTAATCATACTTATTTATATGAATATGATTAACTATATATAGTTTATCATTATCATCATCATTATACCAGCTGTTATCTATCAACTGCTGAATAGTAAATTAATTTTTTTTTAATTGTACTACCCATTAGTATGTGTGCGATTGTCAACATTTGAAGAATCACTACTATAGTCGACTAATCAGTGATATAAACTTCCACAAAATAACACCTAGTTAAATAACTGGGGCGAAAGTGATTGTTAGTAATGAGATTTAACAGCCCAATTGCTAACAATATACCCTCCCACATGGTTCCCCCTGGAAACCATGGTAGTTAATTTTTGTTCAATTGGTCACTATGGGCCTGCGCTAACGGGATACGCTGGCGGGGCACCAGTGAAGGAAGATAAATGAGAATGAAAACAGGCCAATTAGCCCTTCATAATGAATTGACCAAGAATCAACCATGATAGTTTCCAAGGGGAACCGTATGAAAACAGGTCAATTAGCCCATCATAATGAATTTACCAAGAATCAACCATGATAGTTTCCAGGGGGAACTGCATGAAAACAGGCCAATTAGCTCATCATAATGAATTCACCAAGAATCAACCATGATAGTTTCCAGGGGGAACCGCATGAAAACAGGCCAATTAGCCCATCATAATGAATTCACCAAGAATAAACCATGATAGTTTCCAGGGGGAACCGCGAGGTCGACCTGGTTGTGTATATTGCTAGCAGTGGGATTCTCAGTCTCCATTACTAACAATCCCTTTCCCCCCTGGAAACTGCAAATAGGCTTTTGGTGACAATAGGGACACTGCTACCCACATCTTGACCATTAAGTTCCCTTACTTGCCTCTTACGACGACCATGGAAAAGGAAGGGCCTTTATAAAACGACAATTTGAAATATTAGAAAACTTACTCACCTAATACATCTGGTTCTAATACTGTTGTATATTCCTTAAACCAAGTTAAACATTTCTTTGCACTGAAACTAGTATCCTCTGATTTGGAATGTCGACGTGAACTGCAAAAGATATAGGAATAGAAAATTGAATAAACATATTACTATTGTATCATTCATTAACTGTCCATTGCTGAACATGAAGCTTCCCCATAAGGGGAGTTTTGCCAGTAGTTGCCATGCTTAGCAGGTGGGGTGGCAACCGCAGATAGGTTTTGGTGATATTTTAGATGGCCGCTGATGTTCATCTCTCCATTAAGTTCTCTTAGTTGTATGACACCCACGGTAAACAAGCGGTCCATTCTATGTCTGGACCATAGGGGAGTAAAAATGAGGGTTATCAATTCTTATAGGATAGGTCTTGAGGATAGTTGTCATGCTCATGCATTCAAAACAATTATTGTGACTGTTTACCATCAGACAGGTTGTATGATTATTTGTCACTTTAGTGGTATAAAAAAAAATTTACGTGCAAGTAACTCCTTGGATAGTTAGTTTATCTAGAGACTGTGATATTTTACATGACCATTTTCAGGTACTGTAAGCATTAATAAGTTGGATTGATCATCATTAGATGCTCTATATCATTGTGGGTCGTCCTTGTTGCATATAATAAATATGGACCCTCACCTACTATTCCTAGACCGTTTGTGATGGTGATGTTCCTCTATTGCTGTGGCCCCTGGTAGAACATCGCCGCCATTGACCGGAGCGCCGCTCCTCGTGCGTTTACTGCAGCGAGGCATCGTCCTACCACCCTGCAGATAATATAATAAAGATTTTCCTTTTTATCTTACTAATATAATAAAATTGTAATTTATTGATGTCTGTACATGGAACATATTTAAGGTAAATTAATATGATATTCTTTATTGTACACAAAACATGCTGATAACCACAATTCATTATAAACATAATTTACAAAGGCGTGCTTATCTCTAATAAGAGATTTCTTCCAGCAAAACCTTTTCATGTAAATTGTGTTATTTTAAAAATAAAAATAGGCAGTCATACGATCTGCATATATTGTATAAACACATAAGATATGTGTAATAATAAAGAATAATACAAACTACACATTATAAATTACATAAAATACAATGATAGTTTAAACAATAATTTTTAGAAATTTTGCCTGTCTATCTATTTGGTCTAGTATAACACAAGAACTTCTGCACTAAATTAGGTACAGTTTCAACCGTTGTGTTCCTGGTGGTCTAAAATCTGTATATTTTATCTTGATACATAATTTTTTTATACAACTTAGAATGGCAAACAAGCTGACAGCCCACCTGACAGAAAGTGGTAACCGTCACCTATAGACATGAGCACCATACCCATGGATATAACAGAGTATATATGTTTCACCCATGATACTCCCCCATGCGTTGCCATTCCTGAGGACTCAGGTGTTATTGGCATATAAAAAAGGTTTATAAATTTCTTTTTTTTTAAATTCATGCATATGAAGTAGCGGGCACAAATTATTTATATGAAGCCCAATTGTATGTAGTAAAACAGTAGTCATCTCAATAGACTGTAAACTCACTGCTACTAAATATCCAACCCTTCTGTTTATATTGGACTTATATAGGAATAAAATATTGAGTCTTAACTTTAGTATGGCTTGATTAATTTCAAACTAGAGCGTACCTTTTTTATGAACATGTTGTTATTGTATGCTGAGTTGTAAGTAGCAGCTTTTATTTGCCGTCTACAATTTTATATGATAAATTTAAGAGGCAAAACCATTTAAAAGACAAATGATTTCATTGAACTAGGTGTAATTTTGTGGAAATTCATATCACTGGTTAGTAGATTGGAATAATCTTGTTTAATTCCATTTACCATTAATATGTGTGTCACTGCCAACATTTAAAGATTGACTAGGTACTATCAATATAAGTTCTATGACCTTCCATTTAGTTAGTCATCCATCTCCAAACATTACCTAGTCCACAAACACATTGCAAATGATTTTGTCACTTCATACCATGGTTACTGTAGTTCCCTTATTACTAAATTTGTTTAAGGTTTATATTATGTTAAAAATATACTTATACTTGAAAAACATTAAAGACCTTCTTCCTTTAGAAGTCGGGTAAAAAAGTAAAACATACAAATATATTAGAGACTGAGATCACTGGAAGCGATCTGTAAACATAACTGTAACCTTGCCAGCATATTTGTGAAGTTATTGCTATGTAAACATTATAAATCAAACATTACAACTTTTTGTAATCTTGATCACAAATTAGAAAAAAATGGTCTAGTATAAAAAGTATTCCTTACTAAAAAAAGCATAAATAAATATATAAAAATTTGTAAGTTTGTTAGTAATGAAGACTAGCATCTCCATTGCAACAGCATTCATACTGTCTCAGAAACTATCACAGTTGATTTTTGGTTAAGATCAAACATTATGTTGGTCCAACTAACCTAATTTCATCCTTACATACCATTTCTTATTGCTACCCTGCCAGTATGAATAAATAATTCAATTTTTATACATTATATAATCTACATTATTATATTCATGATCATCCTATCAGCTATTAACTATCCACTATTGACTTGCTTTCATCCCCGCCTGTCATCCTTTATTGGTGCCCTGCCAATATATACCGATAGCGCAGGCGGGGTTACCATTTCATTATCACTCATTAAAAAAACCTATCCACTATTGAACATAGGCCTCCCACTTAGTGGATTTTACCAACAGTTCCCACATTTGGCAAGCTAGTTGGTAACCACAGTGGTGATGTTTTAAGACAGACGCTGCTGCCCATCCCTCAAATATTAAGTTCCGTTAATCACTTCTTACAACACCTATGGAAAAGGAAGTGTTGGCCCATTCTATGCAAGGATCACAAAACACATTATTACATTAAACATGATAAAATCCATTTTTACCTACATTCTTCTTTTATTATAAGGCATTCAGAAAATGTTTTATGTTGGTATTATTGTGAAGTAGTGTTGTTTACATGGATATTTTTTAAAACTACTAATGTTCTAGAAACTATGAGAACATGTGTAAGAACCACATATTATATACAAATTATACCATACTTATAACAGATAATAATTTTAGACTTTATTGCAATACATTATTGACTTTATTAAAAAAAAAAAAAACTTTTGCATAGTCAGTATTTTGATAGTTCAATGGTAATTGATGGTTAAGTTTGTAACAGTAAACTAGAATAACATAAAAATGATGAAATATAATTATACTTACAATTGGTGGCAGATTCGATATAAAATTAGAAAACTTAAAGGGGTTTTCGTCTCCTATTTTGCGAATTTTGCGAGGACAATTCACAGAAAAATGTCTTCTTGACAGGTCGATATTAACCTGAAATTAAAAAAAATCAATGTGGGGCAAAAGAGAAAAAATGATACAAACGATTCTGTTTAATAAGAAAATATTGATTGTCGCTCATATATCTTATGTGAATTCTGAGAATGTTAATATAAAACCAATGACGAGATGTCTTGTTGAATAGTGGAGTCGAGCAAATAGGAATCATATCGTAAGTAGTTGTTTCTTACCAAACTCTTTTTAATGATCTTTAATGTTTATGCAAAAAATATTTGCAAATTATTATTGCATTTAGATACTTGTTGAATAATAAAATAGAAATATAGATAAAAATTGCTGAAACCAAACAGCAGACAGCGGCTGATTTTTTTTTTTTTTTTAGTACGTTTGTTCCGTTTGGAACAGGCTAAGGTCGGAGACCATGCTGCCTAGTCTTCAAAAAGATAATTTGTCTGGAATTTTATTTTTCTAATGTCGCTTCAATTATTGTCATAATCTTCAATATTTCATTTGTCAAATCCGGTAAGTACATTTTCATAAATATCTTTTCTTGAGTTTTCTTAAACCAGTGGATTTATCAAATTAAAAATAAATAATTATAAAAAATCATTGTCTTGCAATTCAATAAAAGTATTCTTATAGCTCCTTGAATGTTGTAGTAATATAAGTGAAAATAGCTTTGAAACAAGAAGGAAATCTTAAGAGAAGCGGGATTGAGTGCGGGATATTTTCGGGTTTTTTGAAGATAATCCTAAGTTCGTCAAACATAATGTGTCTTTGAATGACAAATTCAGAGCAATCAAAAAAAGGTGATGTAGAGATTGGGCTGTATTTGAGTTACACCATGTGCATGATGGGGAAGCGATCATGCCCATTCGGTGCAGGTGTTCGTTGAAATGTCCGTGGCCGATTCGTAATCTACAAATATTGGTGTAAAATTTTCTGTTTGTGTCCTTTCCTTTGCAGAACCACGGTTTTCCAATACGCCAATTAATTTTGCGGTACCATTTGCCTTTAGTCTGTAATATTTGAGTCCAATGCTCCTCCCATTTAGTTGTAACGATTTTATGTATTCCAATACTACAATCTGAGTAACAAAGGGATAAATCTTGAACACGAGCAGCACTTGAATTAATAATTTTAGCCAAAGTGTCTACTTGTTCATTCCCAAACACTCCAATATGTGAAGGGGTCCAGATGAAGATAATATCTTTTCCATATATAGTACAGAGATGATAATATTTATTACGAATTTCTTGAATTAAGTAGTTTGATGATGAAATGAATGTGTTATTTTTTAATGCCATAAGAACACTCATACTATCTGTAATTATAATCCATTTCGAATATAGTACCTGTTTTTCTATGTATTCTAATGCTAAAAATATAGCTTTTGCTTCTGCTGTGTAAATACTAGCCAAAGTTGAAATTTTATAACCGTGACCAAATCTATTTGACAAATCGTAAAAAGCCACTGAAGTGCTAAGTGCATTTTTGGAACCATCTGTATATATCTGCCTGTAGTCAATAAATTCTGATAAAGTCTCATACATATCGTGCTTTTCTTTTATGTCTTTACGTATAACAATTTTGATCTTACAGAACTTACTCTCATAAAGGCCATTATAACAAGGAAGTATCTTACTACTATAGATGTTATATTCATCTCGTAAATTCAAATCATTGACAATAGTTTTATTCAAAAACATAGAAATGGGGCAATTTAATAATTTGAGTATGAGTGGGTTATTGGAAACTGAAAAAACTTTGAAGAGAAATTTGAGTTTTAGGTATTCGAAACGAAGAAGGATAGGAGGCAAATTACATTCTACTTGCATTGAGATAATTGGAGAAGTATACATAGCACCTAAAATAAGTCTTAAATTCATATTTTGAATTTTTTCGAGTTTTTCTACTAATTTATGTTCTGAGGCATAACAAAAGAAAGCGTAATCAAAATTACTTCTAACAAGAGATTTGTAAAGTAAAAGGATAATTTTAGGATCAGCTCCCCAGTTACGACCAATTACAGATCTTATTATATTAGTGGCTCTTAAAGCACGATCTACTAAGCAATCAACGTATAGATCCCATTTTAAATTTTGATGAAAAATTACCCCAGAAATTTAACGCTACAGTCTGTTGGAAGAGTTTGATTATTATATATAATATTCATTAATGGAACATATTTATGAACTTGATGAAAAACAACTACTTTACTTTTGGTTAAACTAATATCGAGGGAAAGAAGAGAAAAATATTTCTCAAGTCTTTTTAATGACTCATTTAACACTAATTGCATATCAATAATATTCTTTCCTTTTATATAAATTAATAAATCATCGGCAAATTGCAAGTTGTTCACACTGTTTCCTAAAATTGAATTAAGTTTATAGATATATAAAATATATAGTAGCGGGCTTAGAATACCACCTTGACATACTCCTTTAGAGCTTAACCTAGGTCCTATTAATTTACTATTTACTTTAACATACACTTCTCTATTACTAAGAAAATTATAAATCCATTCGATAAGTTTCATTGGAAGAAATGAGGATAAAATCGAAGATAGAACTGTTAAATTTACATTGTTAAAAGCTCCTAAGACATCTAAAAAAACAGATAGAACATATTCATCGTTATTCAAAGCAGTACTAAGGTCGACATAGAAGTTCGCTAAACTTTCGCGCGCTGAATATCCACGGCGAAAACCAAATTGATTCGATGGTAATATACTATTACTTTCAATAAAGAACTCTAAACGCTGTTTAATTAATTGTTCGAATAATTTGCCTGCACAGGACGTCAATGTTATAGGTCTATAGGAGTCGAAATTTGTAGGATCTTTACCGGGTTTAATTACTGGAATCAAACAATCCATTTTCCATTCTGGTGGGATAATACAGTCCTTCCATAAATCGTTAAAAATTTGTAAGAGTTTAGTAAGGTTTATTTTATTCAGCAATCGAAACATATTGTATGTTAAGCGATCAAGGCCACTAGCTGTATCTTTTCTAGATTTTACTGCACTGGATATTTCATCAATTGAGAATGGGTCAGTGAGAAATTTTGGGCATGAATTAACAGAATTAAACTGTTTGTCATCAAAAGGTGAGTGTACAAAATCAGGAGTATATTTGCGTAAAAAATCATTGACCCATGATATATCTTTAAAATGATTTTGACGATGTTTTGAATTTAGTTTTCTCATATTTTGCCAAACAGTGGAAATTGGTGTTAATCTATTAAATTTGGAACAAAATTCCTGCCACCCCTGTTGTCTTACTTGCTTAATTACTAACTTTTTAACAGCTTGAACTCTTTTAAAATTTATGTAATTATCGAGAGTTGGATTTTGTTTAAACCTAAGGTAAGCCGCTTTACTATCATTGACAGCTGTCGCACACCTGTTATTCCACCAAGGTACTGCAATATGTTTGTGCCTCTTTGAAGTATTTGCACCGCTATTTGATAAGTTCCTACGTGGAACGGAACGTTCCACAGCTGTCAAAATAATTTTACAGAACCTATTGTAATTGTTTAAGGGTTCATTGACATCATACTCGAAATCCAAAAGTAATTGATTAACAGTTTCAGAATAAAGATCCCAATTAACGAGACGTAGGTTTATACGATTTAACAAAAGTTTATTAACTTCATCTATAGGAGCATGTTGTTCACCTGACAGAGTTGATGAAGAGTTCTTTGTGTTTATTTTAGTAAAAGTCGGCAGGTGATAACTTCCTAACGGATCATCATGAACCGACCACTCGCATTTTAATGATATGGATGGGGATACCATAGTTAAATCAAGGCCATTGGGTCTCCAAATATGAGAGCCAACAGTAGTAACTTGCTTATCATTTAATAGTACCAAATTACATTCATCTAAACAATCAAGAATGTCTTTACCTCTTGTATTAGTGGAGGTACAACCCCACATAGTATGATGTGCATTTAAATCTCCAGATATGATAGTGGGTTTAGGAAGAGACTCCAAAAAGAACTTAAATTTGGCTTTAGTAAAACTAGGTGTACTATTGGTAGGACAGTAAATACTGGCAACTGAATACCAAGAATTATTAACTTCAATACTAATAGCTATAGTTTGCAAAGAATTGTCGAAAAAAGAGTGAAGTTTTTTATATCTAATACTATTATGTATAATAATCGCTACTCCATTGTGGTTATTACCACAATCATTTCGTTCTATACAATAATCTTTAATTTTTAATTTGTAATGTGGTTTTAGCCAAGTTTCTGAGATGAGAGCAATGTGAATATGATGTTCATTTAAAAATTGTGTAAAAATATGTCGATTGCTCAGTAGGCTCTGAGCGTTCCACTGTATGATAGTTAATTGGTCTCGATTGAATTTTGTGAAATAGGTCTATTACCAAAAGTATCATATAACACATTCAAAACACTTTTAGTGTTAATAGATGTGTTCTTTGTGTTATGTAGTGAAATAAGTTTGATTATGCTTTCTATTAAAAGTGATAAACTCTTGTTATCAGAATTTAGAATTGAAATTAGGTCTACATTTTTTTTAGGTTTGTTACCCAGTTTAGGAAATATTTCAGTGCTAAGTACATCTCCAAAAGAAGCAGGTCTGAATTTAGATCTATTTTCAGCAATTTTCTTTTGTTTAACAGGGCATTGCGGTGATACACTTGTGTGATTTCCATTGCAGTGTACACAAATAGCGTTTTCCATTCCAGTTGTACAAGTTTTATAATTATGCTCACCTTTGCAGATGCTGCAACGCTCAGAATTCTTACAGAATTTAGCTAAATGTCCATACCTCAAGCACCGGTAGCATTGTTTAACTGGTGGTATATATGGAGTGACATTGTGGCGCCAACCTCCAATATCCAGATATTCAGGTAATACAGATGCAGCAAAAGTAATTGTCACGGTTAGAGTTGGCTGTAACACATATCCATGAGTCAAGGTATTTTTTCTTAAAATTCTTTTAATAGAAATAATTTTCTTAGAACTCGATATCATAGTATATATTTTTTTATTAGATATATTTGTAGGTACATTTCTAATAACGCCTGTAACTTCTGTTGAAGAAGCAGGAATACTGGCCTTAAAATGGTAGTCATTTAAAAAAGTTTTATTATTTAAAAAAGCATTGGCTAAGTCTGGCTTTTGAAAGTATACTCCGATTTTGAATTTATTTATAGATCTAAGATAAGTTACCCCTTTATTAAATCGTTTTAAACAGGAGGAGAGTGAGAGCAAGTCTCTGGATCCAATGGTTTTCTGACTATCTGAGGATTCTACAAAGACAACAAATTCTGTCCCAGGGGATTCCTCGGGATATCTTCTAATATAATCTGTGACGTAGTAAGGTTTATACTTAT